ATAAAATAGACAATTTTTTTTCACTTGGTTCCCTTTATTTGAGTAATTTTGAGGCCTGGATCAGCTCAGTGATCCACACAGCCTGTTCTGGATCTCACAATACTATCTTGGTTGCTTTTTAATCTCTAGAAGGTTTAGTTGTCTTTAAAGTTTTGTTTTGTCTTCTACTGTGCTGTGGGTGGTTTTTATTTTTGTGTGTACTTACAAATATACACTTGAACTCATGTATGCACACACTCCTGATTAGTGAGAAATTTCCGTCATTGGAGCCCTTAAACTTTTGTTCTTACTCCTCAGAGGCCAGATATGATAAAAAAAAAAAAAAAAAAAAGATTTGTGGGTCTATTTGACTGTTTCTTTTAATTTCAAGTAGACTTCATGTATTTCAAAATATATTTCAAACCTCACGAGAAATTAGACTAGAATGACATAGTATTTTCCGTCATCATAGATAGTAATTAAAATTTGCCCAGACACCTGCAGAGGACCTGTGGTTGATAGTCTAAAAAATTGTCCTAAATGAGAGAGATTCTTATTTTTCAGAAATTAATGTTTAAATAACACAAACCCATCAGGTTCTGATCTAGTTTTTGTCACAGTGGAGCTCTCTGGCTGGGGTTTCCTGAAGGATTCTCATGCCTGACCCCAAATTCCTTTGTCATCCCAGCTGATTGCACAGTGTGTCGGCTTGTTTTTCCTGCTCTATATCTATAAATGGAGCCAGAAAATCAACAGCCAAGCCCTTCCTTTCTTTTCTGAACTCTTAACAAATTTTGCATGAACGGCTGGGTAAATAAACCAGTCCCTTTCAGACTCCCGGCAAAATAGCTTCACATTATCTCACTTTGAACAAACACAACAATACCACAAATTAAAATTTTAAAAAAGAAAGAAAAAAAATAACAGTATCAAAGAGTTCTGGGACTTTGGTTCTTGCAGCGCTGTGCTTATATACTTTTGAGGCACATTTTGTGTTCAGGCATGTTTCCTTTGGCCTCTTGCTGATTATTAAGAATGGTCCAGAAAAAAATGATAATTGCTCCCAAACTGTTCAGAGACATCTGCTTTATTGTCTCTGAGAGATAACTTATACCTTTTGTTCTGAGATGAAAAGTGGACAGATATGGGCACATCCTTCCAGAAATGTGTTTTTCCTGGATTAGATCTTGGTGGTTCGTCTTATACGGTGGGGGAGTGAATCCAGTCCTACCTTACAGGTATCCTCATATTCCTTGTCTCCATATCTGGGGCCAGACACTGGTCCTCAAGTATTCTTCTTATTTATTATTCCTCATTTATTATTCATTTAGGAAAGTGGTTAGGGAATATGGTGCATTTATGCACTTAATATAAATGTAAAAGTTACTTGCATATTATTCCCCTTGGAAAGTATCCACCGGGTATGGATCTATAGTTTAGTTCCTGTAGCTACCATTGGCTGATGGCATTTGTTGTTTTCTGTCCTCAAATAGTGATGAGGTTCACTTCATATAATAATATACTAAGTTCTCTCTTTTCTGAAATCCAGACTTCTGGAACTCTCGGAATCTTACCTTTGATTGTAGCCAGAAACCCTCTTTGGTAGCACAGAAGCAATCTTGAAGCACTGACTAGGCTGAGGAGTTGAGACCTCTAGACAGTAAGCACCACTGAACTCATGGGACCCTGCAGGGCCCGCCTTCTTGCTTGATGCTGACAGATGTGGGAGAAACAGCAGGAGGTGTAGGACAGAAGAGAAACAGCCAAGCGACAGCCATGGAAGCGGGGGGCCAGGAGTGGTCAGCGAGACCAAAATGTGGGTATTACCTCTCCAGAGGTGAGCAGTAGAGAAAGAGCCACAGGTGAAAATGTCATTGGGTGGTAGAGGGTGGGCATCATGGGGATGATGAACAGTGGAAGGCAGGCAGTCCTGGGGGACATGTGGCTGGGAAACAATGGTGATAGTAAACCTGAACTTCCCTGCAAGAATCTTGGATGGCATTTGTCATGCACCACATAAAACAGTGGTCTCCTAAGATTAAAATGGAGCTGAAAAATTTTTGTCACCTACTAAAGTAGCTATGGCAACATCTCCATGCAGTGTGTTACTCATATTATTTGTGGTGATGCTGGTGTAAACCAACCTGTTTAAATACACAAATACTTACCATTGGGTGACTGTTACCAACAATATTCAGTACAGTAACATGATGTAAAGGTTTGTAGTTTAAGAGCAGTAGGCTAGACCATAGCCTAAATATGTAGTAGGCGAGACCATCTAGGTTTACATAAGTCCATACTACGTTGTTCATGCAATGACAAAATTGCCTGATGATGCATTTCTCAAAGCATCCCCATAATTAAGGCATGCATGACTGTATTTGTATATGGGTGGGGAAGACACATCAGCCATGTGGATTGTCATGTAATGTCATGTAAGTATGAGCAAATGTTTGTTGAAGGAGCACCTGCCTGCATGCACCATTTCTGCTCTGTGTGTAGCGCAGATGCACATACCTGGCCGTGTGCACAAAGGAAACTTTGAAGGTAGCATGAGCAAACCTGAGGACGCGCCTGTTCTGCCCAGGTTTGCAACTGACGGACTTTTCTACTCATGACAACCAAGGATTGTTGAGTTTGATGTGAGATGCTTGGGTTGGATTCTGTGATCAGTGGAACAGGGAATCTAAAAGTAAAGTCAGTGTTCTGATGACCTGGTAGTGAGCAGAGCATTACGAGATACCAGTCAAGAGCCAGACTGCCATGGCTGAGCTGAGGCTCCGCCTCTGGAAGGCTCATCTCTGACTGATGTACAACAGGAGCAGAGGAGAGGCAAATCAGGGGCTGGGAATCATGCCCGGTGGCTCTGGAGACATTCAGCAGTCCTGCGGGTCCCCAGGAGTGCCTCTGTCCTAAGGTGCAGTATATCAGTCAGTGCCAACAGCACAGACGAACAGCGGATGGAAGGCAGATCACCAACGCCTTCTGGACAGGGCCCTTGGAATCTGCCGTGTATCATGGCTCATGATGACAGTGGCCTCTGCAGACAAGGAAGGGCCAGTACTTTTAGAAAATTTTATAATTAGGATTTAAATTTTTAACTATAAAATGTTTTCAAGCTCTCTCTCTGGCAGACTCCCCCAAATTGACTCATTTCCTAAATATTCCAAATAGACCCTTGAAAAGTATTTTCTACTTTCCAAATTATGTCTATAAGACATTTTCCCTTGTGATTTTCACAACATTAATTTAAAGTGGGTAAGAATTTTTATTATTTCAATGTGTGTCCATTTTCCTTGTAAAGAATTTGAGACAGAAATTAAGCAAACTGTCTATAGTCATTCAACTGGCTGGAAGCCAGCCATATCTTGCTATGATATAGTAAAGAGTTTTCCTATTGCTTTTACATGTGCTTGACTATGACCTCAAATGAGTGAGCTGTGAAAAGAACCCACAAAGAAGACAATTTCATTCTTTAGTGTTTTCACAGGACAGCTCTCCACTAAGAAATCTGATTTCTATTCTTTACGTATGCATCCCTTCTAAATACTTCTTTATTTTAATTTTAATTAATTCATTCATTTTTGTGAAGCTGGGGTATCAAATCCAGGATCTTGCACATGCTAGGCAAATGCTTCACCACTAAGCTATGTCCCCAGCCCCATGAGCATCCTATGGAGGCTATGTTGGTTTTTAATCTTAAAGTAAAAGAAAGTGAACTTTGGTTTTTTTCTGTTTAGCCTTTCCTTACACAGTGGGTCTGAAGCCCTTTGGGCGTACCTCTCATTCTCTATGAGAGTTGAGTTCTGCAACCAGAGTTTTGAATATAATTGCAGATACATTTGTGTCTTCTGCCTTTCTTTCTTTATCAGGAGTGAGACTGAAATTCTGAGATATCTTGAATTGCTAGTGACAAACAACAGAGAAAAAGGATACTTTGGAGAAACCAATCAAAAGATAACTCGGAATCAGGAGATGGCCAAAGGGTAAATCAATGGAATCACAAAATCATTCTCAAGTTTTGGAATGAGTAGTGCATATAATTTATACATAGGACAAGTATAATTTATTTCACAAAAACTTTTTCCTGCAAGATCATTATCAATCACAAAAGGAATTTATTCTAGTGTCTTCTAGCTATATCCTGACAGTATCCCTGTGATGACACCCGTAGTGTGAGCAGAAAGCAGAGTGTCTTTCTGTGTGTTACAAGGCCTGGGCTGCTTAAATCTGGAGGTCTTTAGGTGAGGTGATAAATGCTCCTTATTAAAAACTGAGATGTAGCTGTGCTAGTGAGGACCGGCTGCTGTTCCCTGAGATGGTCCATTTCCACATCTCATTCATAATTGAAGTGAGGGTAATTTTGCCCATCAGAGGAGGTGGTTCATCACATGTCCACTGGCTCATATACCACAGCTCTCAGTGTTGCAGCTGAACAACGGAAACCTCGTAGCATAACAAGATCTATGGGGCCCTGTAAAGTGAAAATTCTGGAAGGGAGGAGAGAGAAGTGGTCAACTCCCAGTGCAGAAAAATGAGTGTAGATCACGTTGCTGTCATCCACTCTAAACCGGGTCCTAAAAGTTTTGGACCCACCTGATCAGACTTCACTAATGAGCCCTGCTTCCTCTTGAGTTTCCATATTCTTCACGGTCTCACCTCTTTCCTCTGGAGGACAGGTAGCATTGGAAGTGAAACATGTGCAGTGATAGTCTCCTTTGGTGGTGTCAAGTCGTGATAAAGTGAGCTTGGGTTTTAAAATATCTTGGTGAATGTGGTGGTGCACGCCAGTGGCCCGGGAGGCTGAGGCAGGAGGATTTTGAGTTCAAAGCCAGTCTTAGCAACTTAGTGAGGCCTTAAGCAACTTTGTGAGACCCTAGCTCAAAATAAAAAAAAATTGAGAAGGACTGGGGATGTAGTTCACTGGTTAAGAACTCCTGGGTTCAAACCTTGATACCAAAAAAAAAAAAAAAAAAGGCACAGAACTTGACGTTCATTATCATCATTTTACATTTATCCAGGTGGCTCCAGAAAGGAAATCACTGAACATTGGGAATGGCTGGAGCAGAATCTACTGCAGACGCTCTCCATCTTCGAAAACGAGAATGATATCACCACATTTGTGAGAGGAAAAATACAGGTAGTGGATTGGGGAACAACAACAACAAAACACTGGGCTGGCGATGTGACTCAGTGCATACAGGAGGCCCTGGGTTCAGTCCCCAGCACCACACACACACACACACACACACACACACACACATACACACACCACAACTTTTTAAGTGGAACTAACTTCAAATTCACAGAAGTATTGTAAAAATAAGAATTGCCTGAAAACACACTTATGTACCCCTTATTGGGTTCACCTGTTGTTGACATTTTGCCTAATTTGCTTTATTCACCTGTTCAATCAATTTGAGGGAAGTTTTCTTCTGAATAGGGATATTTTACAAAACAAGAGCACTACCATTATCAATTTCATTAGTTAACTTTACAAGTTAATTTAACGTTAATACTATACTTTACTATTTGGCATACATTCTAATTCTAAATGGCCCATTTATGCTCTTTGTGGGGTTTGTTATTAATGGTGTTTTTTCCCCCTAATTCTAAATGGCCCAATTATGCTCTTTGTAGGTTTGTTGGTGGTGGGTTTTTGTTTGTTTGTTTGTTTGTTTGTTTTCCATTCCAGGACAGGATGTTGTCTAGGAAACTATTGCGCTTTAGTTTCTTTAGCATCCTTCAGACACAGCCTTGTCTTAGGTTCTATGACATAAATGGTTTTAAAGTTGTACTGTTCTGGTTTTATTAATAGAACACTTTTAGTTTGGGGTTTCCTTAGGTATTTCCTTACAATTCAGTTCGCACTGTGCACTCCTGAAGGGGTGCCACGTTAGTGACCCTGTGTCCTACCCAAGGCTTCAACTTCTCTAGTAGTGATACTCACCTGCTCCTCAGTGGAGCTGTGAACCCAGTCAGGTGCTATCCGTTTTCTCCACTGTGGAGTTACTACTTTTATTCTTGCAAATAATAAATAATTTTCTGTAGAAGAACATGTTAGGACTCCACAAAGATTCCACTCCTTATCAAAATATTCATCTGGATTTAGCATCCATTGATGATTTTTTTGGTCTGAATCCATTTTTGCCATGATGGTTTGCAAAATGATGATTTTAGGAAATGATGTTTTTCCAGCCCAGCCCTCAGCCACGTTTACCAGTGGGCAATTGCTATTCTACCATAAGCAAGAGCCTCCCTTCATTTATGTATCTCTGCATTATTGATGTGGACTGCTGGGTGTCTCAATTGTGTATGTTTCATTATTGGACCTAATTAGTTTGGTACTCTCACAATCCCAAATTTATCTATGGATACATACTACAAATGCCTTTTTGTCATTGTGACATTCTCCACTATTTTTTTTTAAATATGTCCCGACCTGTGGTAATGTAGGATGATCCAGGCCTATTTTGTGTCTTCCCTGTCCTATATGTTTCAGTTTGCTTTCAATTTTCAATTCCTCCTCCTCCTTAACATTGTTAGTTTTATTTATTTTTTTGTCAAAACAGGGAGTATTAATGTTTCCAAAAGTCAAAAAGCATTACTTTGTTCTGTATCTGTATGTTACCCTGTTTTCCCCCAACTCCCCATAGTGAATCAGTGCCATTGTGATCTGGTTTATCCTTTGATCTGGTTTATCCTTTCTTGTGATGGCACACACCTGTAATTCCAGCAGCTCAAGAGGCTGAGACAGGAGGATCGCAAGTTCAAAGCCAGCCTCAGCAAAAGCAAGGCGCTAAGCAACTCAGTGAGACCCTATCTCTATGTAAAATACAAAATAGGGCTGGGGATGTGGCTCAGTTGGCCGAGTGCCCCTGAGTTCAATCCCCATACCAAAAAAAAAAAAAAGAAAGAAAGAAAGAAAAAAGCTAATAGGAACATTTTGCTTACTGACCTTTAATTCTTATATGTAAGACTTCACAAACTCCATTGTTATCAAAATGTATTCCATATACAGGCTGCTTTTTATTTTGTTTTCATCACTTAAAATCTCCTGTTAATATGCCACATCAATTCATAGAATTCTCTCACGTGCTTTTTGAACAGCAAAACAAAACATCTTTGTAGTTCTATTTTTTTATTTTGAAATATTGTTTGTAATTATAAAGAATGCAAAGACTGTACAAAGAATCCCCTTATACACTCTATCAAGCTTCACCTAATGTTAACATCTTACATAATTAGGATACTTATCAAAATAAGAAATGAACATTGGTACAATGTTAGTAACAGTTTTATTTGGATTTGTACCAGTTTTTAAAATTCCATGTCCTTGTTTTCTTTCCATGATCCAATCCAGGATCCCACATTTTTTTTTAGTTCCTCATTATTTTTACAATTACCTATTAAGTGTGTACCATAGCTAACTTCACCAAGCACTGTACTTGGACATTTAGGTTCTTTCCAGTATTTTGCAACTCTAAATATTCCTCCATATAGACATATATATGCATATATATTTATTTATTTATTTATTTTCATGTGAACATATTTTTGTATTATCGGGATTGTATTTTTAGGATGAGCTTGTAGAAGTAGTATTGCCATATTAAAGGGCAAATGTCTGTGCTGTTTTGCAAAAACACTACCAAATTTCTTCACAAGAATTGTACATTTTTAAATCCCAAATGGCAAAGGGGTGCCTCTTTTCCCATAGCTTCACCAACAATGCGCATTATCAAGTTTTTGGAGTTCTGCTAATCTGATGAGGAAGAAATAGTATTTCATGTTATTTCAATTTCTATTTGTCTCATTTATGAAAAATTGATCAACTTTTCATATGTCAAAAGGCAGTTCTGTATCTCTATAAATGTCTGTTCATACCTGTGGCCAGGTTTTCTACAGGGCTTTTGGTTTTATCTTTCTTTAATATGTTACAGTTCTTAGTATGCAAAAGCCATCTGCCTTTTTTTGGTGATACATGTTGTAGACATTTTCCCTTGGTTTATCATATGTCTTCTGGACTTCACTCATGATAATTTTGCCTTACAAAGTTGTGAGTTTTTATCTGGTCAAGATCAGAAGTTGATTCTATCATAGCATCAGGATTTGTAGGCATTTTATACCCGAGGAAAGTGGAATTCTAGGAAGTGGTCTGACGGTTCCTATAAAGTTTCCCAATATGTTCAGTTTTATTTTAATTCTTATACTTTGCTAAACTTCCCATAAACATGTAGTAATTTTATAATCAGAAAAAGAATTTTAAAAATACATTGAACTTTGATTTCTCCTTTGGGTCTGATGTTTTTAAAGGAGAGAGCTGAACTTGAACTGGACCATAGAAAAAGGCCCAGGTAGGAACACCAGCCTCTGCCTCCATTCCACCTGCCCCTCAGGAGGAATCTTTATGCCCACCTACAGGATTTGCGGTTTAAGTTTCTACACCCCCCCTTATTAGAGAGATTAGAAGAGCAATGTTAAAGGTAAAACTGGGACAGGAGGACATATTGGAAAGGATCAGTTTGAAGATGATTCCTTTTAGGGCCATCTCCTAGAATGTGGCAGCTTCTGCACCAAACCAAACTAAAACCAAAAGCAAATTTTGAATAATTGAGAGCTGATTGATGGAACCCAAGTCTTATCAGCAGTTTATTTCTAAGTCATGTATCTGAATTTCTGAAATAACGTAAGTGGAGTGTCTGAGAACTCCTAATTTGCTCATGAAGGAGGGTCTGGATGAAAGGGGTCACCCACTGGTGTGAGAAAAACACAGAGACTTGGAGCAGCATCTCCATCCAGGGTCACTCACTGGAGGTTGTCTGTCACCTGTCACAGCCCTCCCTCAAATGTCATCACCCTTAGGAAGCTGGCACAAAGAAAGAGCTGTAGGAAGAAACCAAAGCTTAGAAGACAGTAGTTATGAGCACGAATGAATGAATGAGTCAGTCAATCAAGCCAAACTACGTCAAGTTGCCATTCTTTTTACTAATTGCATTACACCAAAAATGTCAGATTTAATTCCCCTAAAATCAATTATGAGGAGGGAATTACTGTTACTGCCATTATGTATAAAAGAATGTCGTTCATGTGCAAATGAATGGTTTACATTTTCACAGAGTATCCACTAATTAAGGGAACCAACAGACTTATTTGTTTTGCGATCTAATTAACTTTTATAAATTACCAGTGGAATACTACAGAGGCAACTATAATCCAAACACCACACATACTGTTTTGTGTATTTCTCTCTAGACTTCTGCTATGCCTATGAATCCTAATAGCAGTCTCAGTGTACATATAATTTGGCAATCCACTCGTTTTTCTTTTACTGATACCTTCCATATTGTTATATAATTTTAATTTATCAATAACTGGATATGACTCCATAATTGCTTTTACAGTTCTTCTCTTTCCAGTAGTCTCCTTAATAGCTTCTAATGGTGGAGGATAGGTATAAATGAAAAATGCAGTTAACATTTTGTTCACAGTTTTCCCCACAGGTTTTTGTGTTTTCCTCTCTCTTTGGAATAGATTATAAAATGAGGATTATTGGGTTAAGTAGTTAAAACATAGTGGACCTAAATAGATATTCTCAATATATTAGAATCCCTGTGTGATTATGCATTGCTTACTTTTCAGGATTATAGTTGTTTCACTTATTTTATAGTTTTAATATCTTAATTTTTAAAAATTTCTGTCTTTGATTATGAGGTGAATATTTTTTCATGTTTGCTAAGTTAATTTTCCTCTTTTTGTAAAATCCTTGTCCATATCATTTTGCATATTTAAATTAGCATCGGGCATCACATACACTTTGATTGCATTAATTTTCCAAAGTTACAAGGTGCTATTGCCTAGAACCGGAGGGACCAATTTTATATTCTATGGAATCCAGGGAACTTATGGGGAGAAGATATCCTTTTGTTTCATCATCCAGTCCTCCTGGTTGAAAAGATAGAGCAAACTATAGGTTCTGCATTCTGGACCCTGTCTTGTAAAGGTGTGAGAGTTAGATGTGGGGCCTATTAATTAGCCTTATGATGAAATTTGTTGTCAAAACCTGGTATACTGATACAAGTTTATTAGGCCCTGGAGTGTTTCAGAGTGATATTTACTCAGTTTCATGTTTTTGTCGATCATTTCATACTTGGAAACATTTTCTTTTTGAAATTTTAATGAGCATTCTGGAAAGGTGGTATTTCACCCATCTTACGATAGCATAGTCTGACTCAGTGTTTTTCCACTCAAAAAACATAGGGGTGTCATTTAGTCTGTTGGGCATCATTCTCTTCTAACATCTTCCCTATTTGGACTTTGGGTAAGACCTCCACCAGAGTGGTCCAAAAGAAGAGCAAACCTAAGCCCACTTGAGGGCTGCAGGCTTACTCTGAGCTGATTGGCTGTTGGGATTGCCTGGGGACCCAACTGCTGCTTTCTATTGGTGGGCTTTCACTTGTCACCTTTAATAACTCATTCATTTATTTCTCTTTCATTCTTGTATTATTTTAGATCTGCCTTCAAAGGCATTGACAACTTTGAAATGTCACATAGGCTGGAGGTGTATTTGCCAACTGGGAATAGCTTTTTCATCCTCCGTTCCTTCTGAACCGGCTTCTCCCCACCCAGAGGTCTGATGCCTGCATGTTGCCTCTGGCTCTTTCTGGTCCCTAACACATCCCTCTGTTAACGCCTGCTCAACCCTGGGAGACCTGGGTCCAGAAGTGTTCTCTCCTGGTCTCCATGGAGCTCAACATCTCTGCTCTGTCGGTGGAATAGTATCAAAAGTAATGACAGAAAACAATCCTATTTTAGATATTTCCTAGGAATGTCATCGCCGTTGATAATGCCAGCCACACTGTCATCCTGAGTGATGACAGACCAGGAGCCCACAGCTTGGTGTGTACCTTCCTAAGCACAGTCAACTCTGAAACAATTTTAGATTTAGAAATCTGCAACTCTGGACTATACATCAGAACCAACTGTGACCCCATAAGTGACATTTTAATTTGGAAATATGACATGTTCTCATTTGATATTTTATTGAATATTCTTATATGCTAGATACCGGTGATAAAAAATGTTCAAGACACTATCATTTGGGGGATTCATAATTCGTGATAGAAAGGACATATAAGCAATTTTTTTTCCACCAACATATAAATTAAGAGAGCCTAGAGGTGAGAATGTGGACCTCATTGAAGATCAGTTTAATGTCACAGGGAACATGCTTATTTCTGCAAAACCTAGAAAGTTTGACTCTGGCCAATGGAGATTTTATAGGAAGAGATTTGGTGTGGACCTGTCTTCTCGTTTACCCATGGTCTAGGGAAGTTTTTAAGGTGGGGATGTTATGGTCAGGTCTGTTTTTCAGAAAGTGGCCTTCCAGAATCAGTGTTCAGAAAGTCATGATAGGAGGGAGTTGGGAAGCCATCGCATTCATTCCTGGGCTGCTTGGTGGGCCTGTGGGGGTGGGGGAGGGCAGGGTTCTGTTAGAAGAAGAGGTTGGAGACTTGTGGGGCTCTTGGCAAAGGTCCACTGTTTGCTGTTAGGGTTGTTGTTTATGTTCTTACTTTTACTAGAACTGAACATGATGGAGATTTTGGAAAACCAAAGCCCCCTCTCCTACCATCATTCATGAACAAAACTTCTGGTAACAGAAGTTGGGGTGTATAGGAGGATCTGGTATTAGAAATAAAATTGAGGACATATTTTCAACCCTGATGCAGAGAAAATTGACAATACTTAATATGGGGAAAAGGAATCATGGTTGGGAGAAGGTGCACATGGAGGTGGGAATGAATTAAACCAGACTTTGGGGTGTGGTAGGATTAATGAAACAGAACAGCCTCATTCTAGATTTTAGGCACACAGAATGGCAGGATCAAAAGCCAGAAGGTGAGCAAACACATGTTCAGGCCTGGAAGATGCCTCAAGGCTGGCTGGGGCAGAGTTGCTAATGCAAAACTGTGGTCAGATGTAGTACAATGAAATTTGAAAAGGTTCAGTGTTGGTTGAATTCTGTTAGGGTTTGGATATTAGGTTTAGGTTTGTGAATTAGCCCACTGATGACATTAACTGAGTGGTAACTGAACATGGGTAAGGTGTGGCTGGAGGAGGTGGTGCATTGGGGACATACCTTTGGGCTGCACATTTTGTATCTGGCAAGTGGAGTCTCTCTTCTCTGCTTCCTGATCGTTACGTGTGCCACTTTCCTCTGCCACACTCTTCTACCATGATGTTCTGCCTCACCTTGAGCCCCGAGGAACAGAACTGGCTTTCTGTGGACTGAGACCTCTGAAACCGTGAGCCCCTGAATAAACTTTGCCTCTTCTAAAATTGTTCTCATCAGATCTTTTAGTCACAGCAGCGAAAAAGCTGACTAAAACAGACCCAAACTGTACAAGGCCTACAGTTTCAGACTAACTGGTGGGGAAACAGTCAGGATTTTGATCATCAGAATTTCTTAGTCAAAATTAGTTTTAAGAAGATAGATTTGTAGGGCACATGAAGGATATACTAGAAGTGTAAGAACCCAAAGGCAGGAATTCTAGGGACAACGAGGCAGGTGCAACTTTCCATCCTAGGGATTCAGGAGGGTTGCATCATGTCAAGGAGAATTAAGAGGTGGCCCAAGATCACAGAAATATGAGTCGTGCTCTCCAGTATGTGCATTCCCAGGCTGCCTTGAGGCAGAGACAAGGAAGAGGGGCGGGGGATCTGATATTGCAAAGAGAAAGGTGGGATTCAGGGGAGCATTTTCTATTAGAAAATGTAGAAACCAGTTTTCAAAGAATTACAAAGGAATTGAGTAACAATGAAATAGAATAGTAAGCTGCTATAATAATGAAACAATGGAGTACGCCAGTCACTTGCTATGCAAATGCTTGATCTCCTGTCCAGCTGTCAACACATTCTGTCTAGTATCATTTTTGCTGTCACATTCACCCCTTTTTTGCTCCAGTGACAGTTTATTCCTTTTCTCTAGGGTCCCTGATGTTATAAACGGTCCTGAGATAGGGAGTCCATGGCCCTGTGCGTCTAAGTGACATGCATTTGGTCTTTCTTTCCTTTCTTGTCTCTCATAATGATTTTTGTTGATTTTCAGAAAGGTAGGAGTTGGCACTTGGGAAGACTCTGTCATGATAAGCTCTAGTAAACACAACACAACTGGCAAAATGTTTACACCTCCCCATTTGTAAACTAAAATGATGAGCTGCATTCTGAGTGACTTGAAAATAATTGGCTCCAATAAACATAATAAAATCTCTATTGTTCTTTTAGTATGCAAATGCCACTTGTTAATTGGCTTGAAATTTAGGGGGTTACCTTTGGACAGGGTTTGTGATTTTTAAAAAATGCTGATCTTAGAAATCTTTCTTTGTTTCTATTATGTACAGCTTGTCATATTGATACCGGTTGTATGCTTTGTGTTTTATTCCTGATTAGGGCATCATTGCAGAGTATAACAAAATCAATGACATCAAGGAAGACGATGACACAGAAAAGTTTAAAGAGGCCATCGTGAAATTCCATAGGCTGTTTGGCATGCCTGAAGAGGAGAAGCTTGTCAACTATTACTCTTGCAGCTACTGGAAGGGGAAGGTCCCCCGGCAGGGTTGGATGTACCTCAGTATTAACCACCTGTGCTTCTACTCTTTCCTTATGGGGAAGGAAGGTGAGTGGTCTAGAATTTCAGAGGGAATCTTTGGAAAGTCTACTAAGGCTTTCGGTGTACTCATAAACCAAATCAAAATATCAAAAATCCAGAGCTATAACCGAGTCAACACTTCCTTTTTTGAATATTTAACAAGTGAATCCATTTATTTTCAATTCAGTATTAAAGAAATTTTGTCATTAAGTAATAAAGGTTCACAAAAGGCATAATTAATTTAATAAACATGGATGAAAATCCATGATAATTCTGATCTCAGAATTTAAGTGGCCCCAATTTGACTCTTAAAACCAACAAACAAGGCAGTCAGGAACTCAGAGGAGTTCAGGGGTTGAGAGATTGCAGTCAGTACCTTGGAAGGATTTCCTGGAGCCCGGTGTTGACCCAGCCTTGTTCCCTGTGCTCAGCCAAGCTGGTAATCCGGTGGGTGGACATCACTCAGCTTGAGAAGAACGCCACGCTGCTCTTGCCCGACGGGATCAAAGTGAGCACACGCTCCAGCGAACATTTCTTCTCCGTGTTCCTCAATATCAACGAGACGTTCAAGCTGATGGAGCAGCTTGCCAACATAGCTATGAGGCAACTCTTAGACAACGAAGGCTTTGAGCAAGATCGATCCCTGCCCAAACTGAAGAAGAAATCTCCCAAAAAGGTGTCTGCCCTGAAACGGTAGGTGGCAAGGGACTTTGAGTCTCTCTGTCCGCAGGACTGAGAAACCATACATTTGTTAACTTGAACCTTCTGTGAACAGCTTCCAGGGTTAGAACACTTTTCTGGGTGTGGAAACAATACTGAGAAAGACTTCCACTTTAGAAAGAGATGACTGTGCCCAGCTCCCACACAATGTAATGGGAACTCTTTGGGTCCTATGGACAGAGGGGCCTAGGCCCACACACACAGGGGTGGTTAGCTCTGCCCAGATGGCTTTTGTTTTAGTCTGCTTTGTGGTCACTGTGACCAAAAGACCTAACAACAATATTAGAGGAAGAAAAAAGTTTATTTTGGCTCATAGTCTCAGAGGTCTCAGGCCACAGATGGCCAACTCCATTGCTCTGGGCCAAAGATGAAGCAGAACATGGTGGCAGAAGGGCGTGGTGGAGGAAGGCAGCTCAGGACGTGGTAAGCAGGAAGCAGAGGGAGTTCTTCTCACCAGGGACAAAAATATAAATCCCAAAGTCATGTTCCCAGGGACCCACCTCCAACACCCAATTAATCCATATGAGTGGATTAATCCACTAATTAAGCTACAGATAATTTCACCTCTGAACATTTGCTTTTGGGGGACATCTCTTTTCCAAACCATAGCAGCTCTGAAAAATGGTAGCAGAAGTTCCCCAGGCCAGGAGTAGGATGGAAATTTCAGACAGAGGAAGGGACATGGTGTGCAGAGAAAAGCACAGAAGGAAGTAATTCAGTCACATGGATAGGAGTGGACAGGCAGGGGGTGAGGAGAGGCTACAGAAAAGCCTGGAAGGCTGGATGTGGGGTTAAACTAGGGAGAGGGGGAAGGAGACGCTGATGCCTTCCAAAGTGGGACTGTCTGCCTGGAATTGCCCTTCCCTGAGACGGGGAATGACAGAAGGAAGAGTAGGCCCTGGGGACAGGGTAGCTGAGCTTGATGACATTGAGTAGAGTTGCCTTCAGGACATGCACTAGGAGATCAGTCCAGTAAGATAGGCAGGAGGCAGGAGGATGGCAGGTTTGAGGCCAGCCTCAACAACTTAGTGAAACCCTGTCTCAGAAAATAAAAGGGGTTGGGGATGTGGTTTGGTGGTAGAATGTCCCTGGCTTTAATCCCTAGCGCTGCAAAATTGGACATCATTGGTGGAAGTTGGAGTCTGCAAGGAAGTTGTTATTATGAAGATGTCCTTGGTGATTTGAGATGTGTTGACACAGTGGTAGAGGGCAGATGTCACCACCAGCAGTGAGCTGGGCAGCAGGTGAACGGCAGGGAAAGGCAACTGGGCAAATATAGACTGCTTTGTCAAGAAATTCAGTTATGAAGAGATGGGTCTTGCTTATTTATTTGTTTAGAATGGAAAAGAGTTGAACATTAGGATTGAAGGAAGGAGGCAGATGGGAAGGCTGCTGGTGAGGGTAGGTCGGGGGACAGGAGGGAGATAGGGATAAGGCTGTAAGAATATGAGTCATGTAAAAAGTGGCATCTTGTAGAGTGTGGAAGTTGTGCTTATGTGTGTCGTGTCCTCTTCTTTTAAAACAGGAAGAAAGAGTAAGAGTTGGTGAGGGTGGAGGTCATCCTGGGGACAGAAGGGAGGGAACTGAAGGAAGCTCTGCACCCAGTTAGTCCCTCTTTGCTCTGTGAAGCTGGAAATAGGCTGGCAGGGAGGAGGAGGGTAGACACGAGGGGAAAAGTTTAAACAAATGACATGATGGACAGGAAAAGGTGCTCGTTAGGGAGTAGCCAAGAGAGGATCCAGCCGAGGTTGGAAGCCATAGTTGCCCAAGAGCTGGGTTGTGCCCTGGTCTCTTCATGTAGTTCTGTTGTCCAATTAGGATAAAGAGCAACACCCAGCAGATATGTGGCGTGGGGCTGTTTGCATTCTCTTTAAGTCTTTTCTTAAAAGACAAAGTCCCCCAAAGTGCTCCAGGTATGAGTAATTCTAACAGCCTCTTTCGAAATTATTGCATTCTTTAGACAGAATGAATTTTTTATTCAGGCTTTGTTTTCCCAAGGTTCTTTGACATTTACAGATATTGATTGTCAAATGGCTCTGCAAGGGACCTAAATATAGTAAAATAACTTTATTGTGCTTTGGGGTCCTTAAGTTAGAATTAACACCAACGTAAAGCTGAAGAGCAGAGTGACAACAGGGGATAGGTAGGTCAAGGAGGGGACGGGTAGGCTGAGGGAGCGTCCACTGCAGTGTTGTTTAGAAGGTATTGAAACCTCTTTCTTGTCTCAGGTGAATTATAATTAACTGTTGCTTCCCAGTGATCTCGATGCCAGGGCAAAGAGTGAGAGATACCGGGCCCTATTCCGGCTGCCCAAAGATGAAAAATTAGATGGCCACACAGACTGCACCCTCTGGACTCCGTTTAACAAAATGCACATTTTGGGCCAAATGTTTGTCTCCACAAATTACATCTGCTTCACCAGCAAGGAGGAAAACCTATGCAGCCTCATAATCCCACTCCGAGAGGTAAGTTTCAGGCAAGAAAGGATGCATTAGGACGTTCGTTTATAATGCTTCTCTGGGTAAACCAGGAGTTGTTTTTTGGTTTGCTTTTCAATTTGTTTGTTGTCGTTTTGCATTTTTTTAAATCAGTAGTTGGTTGGTTTTTAAGGTTGTGAATATTCTTAATTCACTGGTGGCATTTGCCACCCTTTCAGTTGTCCCAGTTGGAAGTGTCTCTAGGACCTGTGAGATCTCATCTTCCAGAAATAATAAGGGTTTTGTCATCATTCAAAAATGGAGAGGCCTACAGATCAAGGGATGACTGCTACTGGAAAGACTGCTTGTTGTATTCACAGATCCCAAGAGGAAAGGCCACGCCATTCAGGGCCACATAGGAGGGACCAGATGGGTCAAGAGGCAGAAGGAATAAGGGAACTCATGGGCAAGAGCCTTTATTGTGTTTTGTGAGGGGGAAAAACAGCTGGACAGACTTAGGATTGTGTAGTCCGCACAGTTTTGTGGGCTCTGAGGCATAGTGGTTGTCAGGAGTTGTCTAATTCCTTTCCCTAGGGTGAGTTGGGCAGGACAATAGTGGCCCTGACTATAAGCACTAGAAAAAAAGGAGGTGGTTGGGGTGTGGGCTCTGGATGGTTTGCTTGCTTGAAAAAAACAATTTTCTAGCAATTGGCCAGCACTGAGTGAGGGTGATCTCTCAGGTGTCAGAAAGACCCAAAGATATCAAGGCATCAGACACAAAAACAAGAAAATACAGTTCTGAATAGCCTGGCTTGTGGCCATGGGCAGCCTGGTCAAAAGGAGCAAGTGGGTGGGTGGGTTAGAAGGCCAAGTGTTTGTTCCCACCTGATCTACCAGGAGCCTACATTAGAACTACCAGGCTGCTGGTTAGCCGCAGATTCCCCAGTCCACCCCAGATCCACTGACTCTGAATCTCTACAGATTTTGCAATCTGTATTTCAAGAAATTTCCAGGCCAGTTCTCATGTCCAGGAAAGTCCAAAAGATATTATACTTGCTCTGGTTTGGAGCTGGATTTCATCCTGCCTGGGATAGGAGGTTAGTCCCATAGTCATCTGGAGGGTTGGCTGTGAGGTTTGAGTTGAGAAGGACTTCTAGTTATATGTCAGGGGTTGGGAAACACAGGAGCTGGCAGCCCTCAAGTTTCTGGCAACTTCCAACCTAACCTGATCCTCTCCTGGAAGATAAGGTAATCAAAAGTTTTGAACATTTAATGGAGATTGCCTCCTTGTCAAGATTTCCCATAATAGGCCAGGTGTGGTAGCACATGCCTATAATCCCAGTGGCTCAGTTCAAAGCTAGCCTCAGCAAATTAGGGGGGCCCTAAAGCAACTTAGCAAGATCCTGTCTCAAAATAAAGAATAGAAAAGGTTGGGGATGTGGCTCAGGGGTTAATTTCTGGTACAAAACAACAACAACAAAAAAAAAAAAAAACAAGAATGAAAGAAAAGCTTCCCTATAGTGAAGGATTAAAGTTTCTCTATCTTGTATATCTTTTAAAAATTAAGTAAGCAAATGCCCCTAGAGTTATTTTTTCCTTTCTTTTTTATTTTAAGAGTAATGTATTGTTATCACAGAAATTTTTCAAAAGTACAAACAAATAAAAAGAAAACAAAATTTACCCCTAGTTTCACCATTTAAAGACAATCACCTTAACTAACTGTGCACAGTACACAGCTTTCTAGGCTTTTTCTGTGCATTGCTGTGTGCATGCCTTATAACTCAGATCTAAAACATGTTATATGGAATTTTTACTTTTATTTATGACCTTTAACAGTAAATATATCTCAAACCATTTCCTAAAAATTAAATATTCTTCTATGATGTAATTTTTAATGACTGCATATATACATTATTGATATATTCTTTTACCTAAATTAATATGTAAACTTTTCTTAAGTTACAAGTTACAAATTCCTAGAAGCCAAACAGATCAAAAAGAATGCAGCTGGGCGTGGTGGCACATGCCTGTAATCCCAGCAGCTCAGGAGGCTGAGACAGGAGGATCAGGATCGTGAGTTCAAAGCCTGCCTCAGCAAAAGCGAGGTGCTAAGCCACTCAGTAAGAACCTGTCTCTAGATAAAATACAAAATAGGGCTGGGGATGTGGCTCAGTGCTTGAGTGCCGCTTAGTTAAATCTCTGGTACTCCACCCCCCTAAAAAAAAGAATGCAAAATGTTAAACAATTGAAAAATTTGGTTCTTCTTATTCTGGGTCAGCAAAACTAGTGTTGAACACATTTTGAGGCCAGGATAAGTTACTGGAGTGGAGAGATCAGTTGTCCTTACATGGGGTTGTGAACATAGCTTCATAATTTTTGTAGCAAATTTAACCTCTTTCATGGTCTCCACCGTAGCCCATTAGTAGGCATAACTTTGTTCATCTCATTCTGTGTGTAAGTTTCTTCACCCATTGTTACTGAGTGTATCAAAACCGACCAACCTGGAATGGCTAGGACGTCCACTCCAGGATTAAGAATGTACTGCAGATGGGTCATTTGAGACTCTGAGCGTGTTACCACTCTGCTTATCCAGAGGTGCAAAGAGGTCCTGAAGCCTGTATCCAGACATCTGCCTTGCTTCTGATCAGCGCCCCTGGGTATTGGGTCCAGCCAGCTCTGTTTGTACTGGAGTGAGATTTAGAACACAATAGTAGAGCCCTGGAGGATTGAGAGACCTCTTGCTGCTGTTCTCCACCTCTCTTTGGCTTGCTGGTTTTCCCTAGTAGGGCAGAGATCATTCAGTCACAATTCAGGGTATATCAGAGCAAAGACAGTCTGCAGAGGTGGGGTTTAGACCTGAAGCATGAAGTGGTTGGAAGGTGTAGTTTTAAAGAAATTCGCCTGGTAGGATCTCAGTGCTTCCCTTTGACCCAATGAATCGCTGAGGGATGTTAATGGTGGATCCCCAAACCTCAACTAATGGAGGAGGCAAAGGCCTTAATGTAAGTTTTATTACCTGTGGGTAATGATAACGTTAGAAAAGCAGTGGGTGTTTGAGTAGAGTGTTCTCACACGAGCAGGTGCCCTTTGGGGCCCAGTTGTGCTGAGGGAGCAGCAGGAACCTCTGTGGAATGTGACACCCCCTTGGGCTGCAGACTTCTACACATGGAATTCAGTTAGGCCATACTGACAGAGGGTGAAGATTTATGCAGAATCATGTGGCTGTGGATTTCTGAATTAATTGTTGGGGTAGTGGAAGCAGGAGGCTACAGGAATCTGATGAGGCTCCTCCTTATCGTCACTTAGAGAGTCCAGATGAAGTGTCTCCCCAACACAAATTGCCTCATAAATGTTCATCAGGAGCCACCAAGACTTGATTGAGTTCCAGTCTGTTTTATAAGCCCAGTTGGTAATGAAAATGTCTCATTATGGTGTAGAAAATGCTGAGGCAGCTGGCTTCCTTTACTCGGTGGGGCAAAGCTCATGGAATAGATTTTACTAGAACTCATTTGTCAATGAAAAATGTCTCATAACCCACGTGAGCATTCCCGTGTTTCATGTAGGAGTTTCCTGTTTCCGTGGTCATGATTCTGGTAAATGAGAAGAAGCTTTCCATTTGACTTTATCAAAAGCCATGTCCCTGTCTGAGACACAAAATTTGAACCTTTAATCCTTTGGCCTCTGCCATTTAGTTCTAGACGCCTGATGACCCAAAGAACCAGCAGAAGTTTTAAAACAAACATTTTTCAAGTGTTGAGGGAAAATCCTTTTCATAAGAAAAAAGGGTTCTTTTCTCCGTTTTTCTACAGTTTTTCGTATTAGAACAAAACACAACAAAAAATTCTGCAGGTACAACTCGGATTCCTTTAAAACAGATATTTATATTTATACATGATATATAACTATGTTGATATATCACATGCATGTTATCTAATATATATATCACAGACAATGCACAGCACTTGAGGCCATGGAACTTTTTAAGGTACTTTAATATATTTCCTAGGCTAGAGCAGAAGAAAGGGTTTTTAAAGTACTGTTTGGAAAAGATATATTTCATATGAAAATACCAATATGCAGATTAAAGTTAACTCTGTCTAGACTGCCTTCAGATAGAAAAGATGAGGGGAGAAGAGACCTAGCTGTAGGTACATAATCAGAGCTCTTATAAATAAACCATTTAGAGCTCACCTTGAAGTTTTTCCTAATGTGCTAAAGAAATAGTTTTATTGCATTTATCCTTGCTTCCAGTTTTATGTAAATCCTACTAAAAACCACCAATATATGTCTTCAGTTCAAAGCTAAAACAGTTGTTTCTCTTTCCTTATTTTCTTCCGCTGTGGGTGACTTCAGTGGTCACACACATGTGTGCACATAGACTCATGCACACACACACACACACACACACACACAGAATCTGCTAGTGCAAACAGCATTGCAGTTAAGCTGTTTATATCATGCCTGTCTAGGAATAGATCCTTGAAAATTGGATGCAAAGCCACAGATCAGTGATCCATTTATTGAAAGATTGATGGGGTCTTGAAAACCTCCCTAACATTAAGCTTGATACAAGGAACCAGTACCAGTTTTTTTCCATGTCCTCTGAGTAGTGTGACAGCTAAGAGTCCTAGCTCTCATGACTCCCTGAGATTTTAATGAAATTCATTTACAGCCAAGTGACCCATCTTGGCACTAGTGACATTTAGGGCCAGACTTCGTGTTGGGCACTGCCCTGTGTACTGCTGGACGTTCAGCAGCTTCCTTAGCCTCTACCTACTAGAATGGTTGTCACCTTCCCATTTGCAACAACCAAAAATGCCTTCAGATATTGCCTGATGTCTCCAGGGTGTGTGGGAAAGAGTAGAATCATTCCCAGTTTAGAACCACTGATTTTGAAAGATCAGCAAGATTATTCTAGTTTCTGCTCTAAATTCCAGTTAGATTTGCCTGAGCTATTTTATTTTATTGGAAAAGAGACAAAGAATCTCAGTTTGCTCCAGAAAATATGGGTGGTTTCCATAGAGTGGTGAGAGGGCTGTGTTCCTCTTGTAGCACTACTTGTGGGCTGCTGTGGGGTGATTCCTGGAAAGTAGTGCTCTGTGCTTCGTGTTTCTTTTTAGGTGACCATTGTGGAGAAGGCCGACAGCTCTAGTGTGCTCCCGAGTCCTCTGTCCATCAGCACCAGGAACAGGATGACCTTCCTATTTGCCAATTTGAAAGATAGAGACTTTCTAGTGCAAAGAATCTCAGATTTCCTGCAGCAGACGACTTCCAAAATATACTTGGACAAAGAGTTTGCCGGAAGCTACAACAGTTCAGATGATGAGGTCTGTAGAAAATACCTGCAGGTGTTGGGGTTTGCCCTATTCCTGTGCCCAAGAGTGTTCGCTTCCTATTTTTTCAGTTCTGCAATCTCTGTAGCTATTCTAAGATAAGCCACCTGCTTATCTCAGGCAGTATCTCAGCAGGCTCTTGGGTAAACTCAAGAAGTTTGGTTTAAACCTCTTTTTCTACAGTTGCTGGTATTATTAAGTGATTTATCTGTTACATAGCAAGTGACTCTTGCCCACAGAGTGACATGGTTTGGAATGGTACAGAAGTCAGTAAATAAAGTCTCATGTCTGAAATTCAGCATCATCATGATGATTTTATTACAATAAAATGCAAATTGCATCGTCCCTATTGAATTAGGCCTTGGACCCACATCCAGGAAAATAGAGCACTGAGAAGACATGGGACTAGGTAAATTACTGAGCAAGGTACTGCTTGTTAAAACAAGTTTTAAACATGGTAAAGTCACATGTAAAACCCTGTCCTTGCCTACCCAGTTTACTTATGTTGGTTTTTTGTGTATGTGTGAGTACATGCGCATGCCTGTGTGCTACTGGGAATGGATGGCAGGGGTGCTCTACCACTGAGCTACGTCCCCGGCCCTTTTTATTTTATTTTTGAGATAGTGTCTCACCAAGTTGCCTGGGTTGGCCTTGAACTTGTGATCCTCTTGCCTCAGCCCTCTGTATTGTTGGGAGTAGAGCACATGCATCATCATATATGCAAATCAGAGAGACAAATAGCCAGCCTCTGTTACCAAAAATGCATTTAAAATACAAAGGAAGGGGCTGAGGCTGTCGCTCAGTGGTTGAGTGCTTGTCTAGCACATAGGAGGCACTGGGTTCCATCCTCAGCACCACATACAAATAAATAAATAAATAGAATGAAGGTATTGTGTTTATCTACAACTAAAATAAAAAAAAATATTTTAAAAAATACAAAGGAAACCAACTTTGAGCATTGAAATGCTGCAGCCTATGACCCCAGCCACTGTCTGATCCCTGACAAGATGTTAACTTGCTGCCTTTCTCCCGGTCCTTCCTGTAGCAAGAAACATCGGGAAAACATGGTGGAGTTACTGATAGCTACTCAGAGGACCCGGCGGACATAGGTTCTGTGCCCAAATCCCTCCAATGTCTTGTTCTGCTCCTCATGAACAGGTGTACTCTCGGCCCAGCAGCCTCGTTTCCTCCAGCCCCCAGAGAAGCACCAGCTCCGATGTGGACGGAGAGCGCCAGTTCAACCTGAATGGCAACAGCGTCCCCACAGCCACACAGACCCTGATGACCATGTACCGGCGGCGGTCTCCTGAGGAATTCAACCCCAAATTGGTGGGCACTCTTTGCTCTTCCTCAAAACTGTGGTAGAACATGACCATTAAAAATAGTTTTTAATGTAAATAAACTCATAAATGCCTGTGAAAATGGTGAAGCAGTTTTTATCTAAATATGCTGTTAGGTTTCAGAGCAGCTTTAAGGGAGGAGACAAGAATCATTTTAACTCTTTTTATTTTAACTATTGTGCAAATCAGCCAACAAATAAGTACACGCTTTCTCAGCACACATTTTAAAAACATGAATTCACTTTCACTTGGAGGAATAGAAATAAAACTAAAAATATGATTGGCATCCTACTGACCCATCTTGGGGAAGTGGGATTCTGACTGGGTCAGAGAGCTTTGAGGCAGAACTGCCATCTGTGATGGATGTGTGGAATTGGGGGAGGATTCCAGAAAAATCTTGAGTTCTTTGTTCCCACGTGCTCTGCCCAGAACTTGACCACCCCGCTCAATAGGGAAACTGTTCTGACCTTCCATCTCGACTCTCCTTACCAGCCTCGCAGTACTTTGGGGATGTAATAACATTCCTTGTGTCTTTCAGGCCAAAGAGTTCTTGAAAGAGCAAGCCTGGAAGATTCACTTTGCTGAATATGGGCAGGGGATCTGCATGTACCGCACAGAAAAAACCCGGGAGCTGGTGTTGAAGGGCATCCCCGAGAGCATGCGGGGCGAGCTGTGGCTGCTGCTCTCAGGTACGACCTGGGCAGGGGCTGGAGCATCGGCATCTGAGTCCAGGGCACCCGGGCTTCCCCTCCACCTTCCGTCCTGCACCAGGGGTTCTCTCAAATAGGCAAACCTCCAATTCAGAACTAAAGCTCATTTCCCCACCAGAATCTGTGAATTCTGTCAAAATCTTTTACTCTTCATCAAAATCCAGGACCCAAGGTAAGCAGCCCAGATAGATGCTGGTGCCACTGTCCCCTGAGTCCTCAGTCTCTTCCATTTCTTCAGTGAGACTTTGTAGAAAAAAGACAGCCTGATGTGCCAGAGTGCAGCATTTTGTGATTCAGGGGGATCTCCTCTCTCCTGGCTGTATTGACTTCACGGAGAATGTTTGAAAGTACCTCTTTTGAGAGCCCTCACTGGGCTGGAAAATAGAGAAAGAGTGGAGGGATGAGAAAGCCCCATTCTTTTTTGGGGTGGGATACCAGAATTGATCCTGAGGTGCCTACCGACTGAGCCACATCCCCAGCCCTTTTTTATATTTTATTTAGAGACAAGGTCTCACTGAGTTGCTTAGGGTCTTGCTAAGTTGCTAAGGCTGGTGTTGAACTGGCCAATCTCCTGCCTCAGCCTCCCAAGCTCCTGGGATTATAGACGTGTGCCACCACACCTGGTGAAAACCCCATTCTTGATTTTTGCCTCCTCCTGAGGTCTTTGGTTGTCACTGAGGCCACGAAGGTGGCTTCCTATATATGCCTTGGATAGTATTTCTCCTTGTCTTCAGGGCATATACTCCCAGGCCCCCACTGGCTGCCTGAAACCACAGGTAGTATCAAACCCTGTCTACCATGTATTTTCCTACAAACACATAACTATGATAAGTTTAACTTACAAATTAGGCACAGTAAGAGACTAACAAACAATAACTAATAATGAAATAGAACAGAGTATAACAATATTGTATAATAAAAGTTATTTAAATCTTAGGAATTATTAATTTCTGGAATTTTCCATTTTAATATTTTAATCTTTCAGGCTAACCTGCCACTACTTCTTGTCATCCTGAGCATCCAGAGTATCCCAGGGATCTTTTCTATCTCAAACACCAGGGCATGCCTTCAAATTCCACAAACCTTTACTTTATCATAGAAATCAGTTGCTCTTATCTGATTTGAGGCCTTAAAAGTAGTCATTCTAAATAAGCTTATGTGAATCATTTTATCTGAACCTGAGGTGTTTTGACCATTATTAAACCCTTTAATTTAGAAAATGACATTAAAGTGAAAAGAATCGTTTTCAGACTTACAGGAAAGCCTTGAAATTTTTACAAGTATTTCTAGAAGTGCATATAAGTGGTAAAATGTCCCACAGTGAGATCTAGAAATGTCTGGGCAGTAAGGCAACAGAATCCTGAAAAAATCATTGACTTTGTCTATTTCGTGTGAAATGGGTTTGTTCTTCCCTTGTCGTTTTCATTTTCCTTAAGTAGACCAGCTGCAGCCCTCCCCCCTTATTACTTAAAAGCCCTAATTTGAGTCAACTCACCTCTAATTACAAATGAAGCCAAGAGCCTCACTACACAGTCTCCTCTTGTCTTCCTTGTGTTGGGTGAACTGATCACTCACAGAGTAAATGAAAAAGTCCATTTTTATCCTCCCTATTCAAATTAGAAGTTATTTTCAGCCACATATCAGATGAAAGTGAACAAGCCCCAGGAATCCTACACAGCCCTGTTGCAGAGATAGAGTCAGGGTGGGTTATATACAGTGTCTCCTTTAACAGTGAGGGCAGTGTGTGACCAGAGAGTGACATGTTTACATATTGCTCATGTTCCCATCCATCCAGTGTGGGGTTCACATGGAACCCAGCTTCTAGTAAGTGAGCCCACCTTGAGACCCAGCTCCCTCCCATGACCCTGAAGGCTACTACACCAGGACTTGGACTCAGTGCAGCACAGCCCCATGAGAACAGAGCAAAAGCCAAGGTTATTTACCGTCAGCCAGGCTCCCCTCCCAGGGCCTGTGTGAACGACAGATTGGCTCTCTTCGTGACCATCTGGGCGAGCCATTGGGTTGGGGACTCTATATTCTAAAGGGTGAACTGTGAATGTTTACCCTGTTTTTATATATGACTTATATTTTTGGTTTTTAATAAAAGCCTTATTGAGATACAACTCACAATTCAACGAAGTGTACAATTCAATGATTTTAAGATATTCACAGAATTGTGGTCAGCACGGTTAATTTTAGAATTCTGTCGTCAACCCCTCCTGCCACCCCATGTTTTCTCAGTCATTCTCCATTTCCCCCCAAGCTGTAGGCAGCCAGCTGTAGGCAACCACTAAACTCCTTTTTATTTCTATAGATTTATCTATTCGGGGCATTTTGTATAAATGGAATCCTGCAATAGTTCTTAGTGACTGACTTCTTTCTCTTGGCGTAATGCTTTCAAGGTTCACCTGTGTTGGAGCATGTATCAGTGTTTCATTGCTTCTCCAACCAAACGTTGCCCCCTCATACGGTTGTAATTCACTTTGTTCAGCCATTTGTCAGTTACTGAACATTGAGGTGGTTTGCACTTTTGTCTCCTGTGAATAATGTAAGTTTGGGGGTGGGATGTGTATTTTCATTTCTTTTGAGTATGTACCTGGAGTGGAATTTCTGGTTTGTCTGATCTGTTTTTAACCTTTTAAGGAACTGCCAGGCCATTTTCCAAATCAGCTGCACCTTTTCACAATCCCACCAGCAATGGATAAGGGTTCCAATTTTTCCACATCTTCACCAACACTTGCTCTTTTCTATTCTATTGCAGTCACCCTAGATGTTGAGTGATTTGTCACTGTGGTTTTGATGGCTAATGATGTTGAGCATGTCTTCATGTGCTTGGTGGCCATTTGTATATCTTCTTTGCAGAAAGATCTACTTAGATCTTTTGCCCACTTTTAATTAGGTTGTTTTTTATTAATTGAGTGCTAAGAGTTTTTAAGCACATTTTATAACACAAATCCATTATCAGATTTTCAAAATTTCCCATTCCTTTGGCTGACTTTTCACTGTCTAGATGGTGCCCTTTGAAACACAAAATTTCTAAGTTAGGTGAAGTTCAATTTATGGGTTTTTTTTCTTATATCACTCTGTTTTCATATGTTGAAGATTTATGCCAGCCCATATTTTCTACTAAGGCTTACAGTTTTTGTGATTCATTCATTTTAATATTTATGTCATGTGAGGTAATGATCTAAATTCATTCTTTTCCATATGGGTAGCCAGTTTTCTCTTGGTCATTTGTTGGAAAACCTCTGCTTTTCCCTGATGAATTGGCTTAGAACCCTTGTCAAAAATTAATAGACCATTAAGGAGAGGGTTCATTTTTGGAGTCTCAGTTGGCCTATTGATGTGTCTATAGGCCAGAACCACATAGTCTTGATTTCTATAACTTTGTAATGTTTTCAAATCAAGAAGTGTGAGTCCTCCAATTTTGTTCTTTTTCAACATTGATTCGGTCATTTGGGGGGCCCTTAAATTTTTCTGCAAATTTCAGTATCAACTAGTTAATTTTTACCAAAAGGGCAGCTAGGAGTTTGGTAGGTATTGTGTTGAATCTGTGCATAGGTTTGGATTGTTTACCTATCTTAACAATATTAAGTCTTCTAAGCTATGGACATGGGGTATCTTTCCATTCACTTTGTCTTTGTTAATATCCTCCAGCAATCTTTTATAGCTTGCAAGGTACATTGTATTTATTCTGAATATTTATTTTCTCTTTGATCGTATTATAAATGCAATTGTTTACTCACTTTCATTTTAAGATTGGTTACTGCTAGCATATAGATATGCAATTCATTTTTTTTTAGTATTGCTCTTATATCCTGGAGCCTCAATGAATTCATTTGTATGTTTTCTACAACAATTTTTATTTACATCTCCTGAGCATTAGTGATATTGAGCATCTTTTCACATATATGTTGGATATTTGTCTTCTTTGAAGAAGGTCTGTTCATTTCCTTTGCTCATTTTTAATTGGATTTTTGTTGATGTTTACTGTTAGTTGAGTGAACTATTAGTTGTATTAGTTCCTTGTATCTTTTTGTATTTTGGATATTTACTCCTTATCAGATATTTGATATGAAAAAGTTTTCTCCCATCCTGTGGATTGCCTTTGCTCTCTGCTGATCGTTTCCTTTGATGTGCAGAATTTCATATAATCTTACTTGTCTATTCTATTGCTTTTGGTGCTTGTGCCTTTGAGTCGTGATTGGTGTCATATCCAAAATAATTTCCCTGACCAATTTTGAGAAGCACTTCTCCTGTTTTCTTCTAGCAGCGTTATGGTTTCAGGTCTTCTTCTTTAAGTCTTTAGTCCATTTGTGCTGCTGGTTGTGGTATATGGTGTGAGGTAAGGGTCCAATTTCATTCTTCAGCATGATAAAAATCCATTTTCCCCAACAGCAATATAAATTTATACCTAGATTTAAATTTAGCTATTTGCATACAGAGTTTTTCTGTCTTCAAGAATCTTAATACAAACATCTTAAACTGGTGATTATATAGCCCAAGTCCCATCCCTCTCCTGCAGAACTCCCACAGGTAATAGGCTCATCACTACTAAGAACACCCTCACCACTGACTGCAACTTCAAAAATCCCTCCAAGTATACTACAGCCTTTCCTGCTCTTCCATATGCAAAATCCTTTATAGCTAGCCCTTTAGCAAATAGTGTTCAAACTTAATTTGAGAGACATCTTTATTTTCAAGTAAAATTGTAATAAAACCCCCATGAAATAAAAGCAAAGCTTCTATCAGGTTATTACAGTGGTTAAAGTGGGTGGTGAGAGGAGGACTCAGCCTGGCTTACTCTGGTCACTGCCCGTCTTCTCTTAAGCAGCCACTTGAAATTGTGGAAGTTCCTTGGAGCACAGATTTATAGCCTGCAAACGTCTACCTGAAGGGGTTTTTATGCAACCACCTTGCTCTGGGGCTGAAAGAGGACATCAACCTTAGGCTATCCATGATAGAAATATACCACATTTTTCATCTGATTCATATTTTCACATGATTTCATCTTTTTTGCCAATTTTCTATGAGTGACAGAAAAATGAAGAGGTTTAGCTGACTAGACAACAATTACAACGATATAAATCATAAAGTATTAATTTACAGAGCAAGGCAGGGCTTCCGCTTTTTGGATATTGTATCTGTTATGTGTTCACCCAGGTGCTATCAACGAAAAAGCCACACATCCTGGGTACTATGAAGACCTAGTGGAGAAGTCCATGGGGAAGTACAACCTCGCCACGGAGGAGATTGAGAGGGACTTACATCGCTCTCTTCCGGAGCACCCAGCTTTCCAGAATGAAATGGGCATTGCTGCTCTGAGGAGGGTCTTAACAGCTTATGCATTTCGAAATCCCAATATAGGGTATTGCCAGGTAAGTGCACGGAGAGTTTATACAGAAGAAAATATTGCTCCAAGGCTCCTCAGTCTCAGTGCAGTTGGCAACCTAATCTCTTCCTGGGGGGGCTGTCCTGTGCTTTAGTGTTAATGACATGCCTGGCCCCTACCCACTCGATGCCAATAAAACCTCCCAGTTGTGACAGTCAAAATTGTCTCTTGACATTGCCAATGTCCCCCGAGGAGCAAAGTCACCCTGGGTCAAGGCCTACTACCAGAGACAGGAGCCAGACATGATGCCCTTTGTGGGTCAGCCAAGGTCTAGCTCACTCCTTGGGTCTACCCTCGGCATCCTAAACACACATCCCTTCCCTATATATTGCCACATGTTCCTCTTAAACTGTAACGTCCTTGGAAATTACAGCGTGTGTACGCTAGAGTTGTACTTGAATACACATTAAAATCAATTTGGTTTTACTCAGTATGACAAAAAGAGAAGGCAAAATGTTGCCCACACGCTAAAATCATTTCCTGTACTGGAACCTAAGTGACCACTTGGGAGGCTTCCAGATAATGTGACCTTAGATTGGAAGACTACATCATCATGGAGGCCTCCTGGACCACCCATTTTAGGGCTAAAGGAGGCTGAACTCCTGCTCTTACATCCATACATCTGTCTCCCTCCTACACACACACTCCCCCTCTCTCTCCATTTACCACATTATTTAACTTTTTAAAATAACATTAAATTTAAACATACCCCCAAATTGATTAATTACCCTTTATATCTTAGTGTTTTCTCTCTCATACCAGCATCTATGTCCTGGAAGGCTTGTCTAAGCAGTGTCACCATCCCCCTCCTTCAGTTCCTATACCAGAGCCTGTTACAGGGTGGAACCTGCAAAAACCAATTTTGACTGAATGACTGAGGAATTGACTATAACCACAGCCATGGACTAGAGTTGACAGGTTAATTCTCAAGTGGAATTTTAATAATGATTTCACTCGGGAAAATATTGAGTAAGACTTGCAAGAAAGAGCCCATTATACCAAAAGAGAAATTTTCATTGAGGAAGTCTGATGAACAGACTCCCGGGTTTCCAGAAGATCAAAAGAAGCAAAGTAGTTAGAAGGCTTTTAATAGAATAGAATTTGCATCTATCTTTTGATCTTCCTTTTTTAATTAAGAGGACTATTAAGGTAGTTTAGCTGTTGAGTGGTTATGAGCTCTCTGATAATATCTTCTAAGAAAGTAAGGTGACTTTAGAATTTAAATCACAGTTACTTATCAGGACCATCTTTATCCAGATGGAAATAATGGGCCAGGGCTTTAACTTTGAAAGGATTCATTATTCTCTGAGGACAGCCTGGAGCTATGTGTACTTGGTTATAGAAACTGTTACAGAAGGTTAAAAAGGAAATATTTACCTCATTGAATTAAGGATTAAGAACACTGAGAGATTTTTACAGGTTGAAAGCTTTGTCAGATAGCTTTGGGGCAAAGTTTTTGAAAGGAGAGTTTGCCTGTACATGTTTTATGGTAGGGATTCTGGTGAATATTTGTGCTAACAATCCCCTGATGAGGTACTGGCTCAAGAACTAATGGTTTTTACATTTTTAAAGGATCATAAAAGAAAACAAAACCCAGAATATAGACAGCGCCCCTATGTGTCCTGCAAAGCCTCAGAATTTCATCTGGAATTTTTCAGAGAGTTTGATGGCCCCTATGAGAATAACTCAATAATCTTTTTTTAGGTTAACAAAATTGCTTGTATTTTAATATCTATTTGATGTCTTCGAAATGTATTTGATGACTTTGTCTTTCATTCCACTAGGCCATGAATATTGTCACCTCAGTGCTACTTCTTTATGCCAAAGAGGAGGAGGCTTTCTGGCTGCTGGTTGCTTTGTGTGAGCGAATGCTTCCGGATTACTATAACACCAGGGTTGTCGGTATGTGGGTGTGTTACCCTCTCAGCCTGAAACTCATGGGGACAATGGTTTTAGAGTCATAACAGCCAATGCTCCACTTCTAGTCACTAGCCAGCAGTTTCAGACTACTCCAGTTTTCCAAGATGGAAATGAAAGAGCTTAAGTAAATATAGGTTTTAAGTAAAAAAAAAATCCCATGGATGTGTGGCACATATTGCTGTCACAGATGTTATCTTAGGAAACACTTGATGTGGTGTCACTGCATAATATGTGAGAGCTACTCCAAGGGCTCATGACCATTAGTGGAAAAATAGATTTCCACTGAAATGTCTGTCTGTGTGCTCTTTAATAAAGAAGATGGAGCCTATGGAAAGCAGAGATATTCAAAAAATGTTACCTGGGGTGGGAAACACAGCATGTAAAGTCTTATCCAAAGCTGAATTCCTAAGGCATATTTCAGAACTGGTTTCATTGCAAAGCAAACAACCATTGAATTATTGCCTCCTTCTAACCCCTTCATGTATCAGACATTAACTTTAGCAGGACAAGCTCTTCATTCCTGGTATAGTACAACATATGCTTTATGTTACCCTCTTGTGTTCTGTCTGTATTTCTAGATTTTTGTACACTAATATGACTTACGGAAAATATTCCCTAAAAATGTCAGTCAGTCATTTGTGAGTGTGTGCAGCTTTAAGTTTTAAAAATACAACTGTTTTTTTAAAGTGATGTCATATGTGAGGAGCATGCGTCCAAAGAGTATTTTTTAAATAAAGAAGAGTTTACTGAGTAAACTACTTAGGGGTACACTTGGAGCATCCTGGATGTGTATTTCATTCCTAAGCAAATGTTGTGCTACCAACACAACAGCTAAGGATGTGTCATGAAAATTTTGTAAAGTTTTTCCAACAACCCTTAGAGTCATCACGTTAGTGCTCATTCATGGTAGGAAAACAGCAAGGAGAAGATGCAGCCAGACTTACCCTGGAGACTGAGCTCCGTTGACACTTGGTCTAGTGACACAGTCCTGGCAGAATGGTTGTGAATCGGGTTGTCACAGGGAAACCACTTGTGTGGGTTCTCTGGTGAGAAGGTACAGCTGGTAGACCTGTGCCCTTTGGTGTCACCCCCTCAGGCGCACTGGTGGACCAGGGTGTCTTCGAGGAGCTGGCCCGGGACTACGTGCCGCAGCTGTACGACTGCATGCAGGACCTGGGTGTGATCTCCACCATCTCCCTGTCTTGGTTCCTCACCCTCTTCCTCAGCGTGATGCCCTTCGAGAGCGCAGTGGTGGTCGTGGACTGTTTCTTCTATGAAGGAATCAAAGTGATATTCCAGTTGGCCCTGGCCGTGCTGGATGCCAACGTGGACAAACTGTTGAACTGCAAGGACGACGGCGAGGCCATGACCGTCCTGGGAAGGTACTGTGCTGCTGTGCCGCGTCCTGCCTTGGAAACCCTCTCTGGCCTTCTTCCCTGTGCTTTCTCTCTTGCTCCCTCATTTCCTGAGTCTTAATGGCCTTGATGATAATCATAAAATCTCTGTGGCTGAGGATTTATTTCCATAGGGCTTTTCTTTTGAAGCGAAGGAATTTCTTCCTGTTCTAAACTGCTGTTTGTGGAACGGGAGTGAGGAACCGTAGTGGGACAATCCCAGCCGGTCTCCAGTGACATGGGTTTGCTTCTTCTCCAGGTACTTGGACAGCGTGACCAACAAGGACAGCACGCTGCCCCCCATCCCTCACCTCCACTCCCTGCTCAGTGACGACGTGGAGCCTTACCCTGCGGTAGACATCTTCAGACTCATTGGAACATCCTACGAGGTGGGCCTTGCTTCCTGCCTGATGGTGAATGGTGTCCGAGGCTGCCGAGGCTGGATGTGGGTCCCCTGCCACCGTTGCTAACCTGTCTTAGCCTGTCTTGTGCTGCCATCCCTAGACACCACAGACTAGATAATTTATAAAGAATAGAAATGCATTCCTCATCGTTCCGGAGGCTGGGAAGTCCAACACCAAGGTGCAGGTTAGGGCCCTGCCTTCCTACTTCCAAGATGGTACCTCGTATTCCAGAAGGGAGGAGCGTCACGTCCTCACCTGGCAGAAGAGCAGAGTGGAGAGCACACTCCTGCAAGAGGTTTTATTAGCAGTTAATCCACGAGGCCAGCTAACCAGCTCCCATGAGGCCCCACCTCCCAGCCCTGTCACACTGGGGAATAAGTTTCAGCACCAGTTTTGGAGGGCACAAAAGTATTGGAGCCACAGCCTTAACCATGGCTTACCTGCTTCCTTTTATGCTGTGAGAGCTAGTTGTCAGAATTAAGTAGCTACCCGCTAGCTGACAGGGTCTGAATTGGGTCTCTGGAGATGGACACGGAGTGGGCGTAGAATTCCTAGGGTCTAATACCTTGGCAGCAAATGGCATGACAGGCTCTGGGCCTTTGGTTCTTTGCTATGCCCACCATGAAGCCTGGTCTAATAGCAGCATCTGAGATTCAGTTCATTTCCTGTTCAGTGCTAAGTACTTAGATTCCTCTGGAGTAGATAGTCTGAGACTCTTAAAATACCCTTCATCAGGCCGGAGTGGACCAGAGTTCGAGTATTCCTCCAGAGTTGCTTGGGCTGGATGAGGGAAGAGCATTCTGGTTTAGTATACTCTGAACTCCATAGAACTAACTGAATTCCAGAATAAAACAAACAAACTTCTGGGGTAGTGGCACCACAGTGCCACCTGCCTCCTTAGCAACTAGTGGTTTGGGTGCCCCAAGGATTCAGTGCCCATAACACTTGCTGGTTTCAAATTTCTGCAGAAATGGTTATCAAGTAAGAGAAAGAATTATATTCTGCTTTCTATAGATGTTTTGGGATTGTGCTTGGTGATTCTGTATTCCAGCTAGCAACACACTGGATACAAGAGAAATTGTGAAGCTTTGAGTGAGGTAGAAAGTCTCTCTTTGAGTCAAAAATTAAAACTGGTGTGGATATAGAGAGCTTTTCAGAAATGTATGTCTTTAATCCAATATGAGAGAAAGACTGATAATTCACTTCTTAAATTTTCATTCAGACTCCATCATGTTTATTGATAACATTTTAGTTACATGTTAAAATCATAAATACAGGCATATTGTGGAAATTGTAGACGACTATGAAGAAAGAAAATAACTATCTTATGAGCATTTTACCATATTTTCCTTAAGTATGTTTTTATATTTGCAACATATGCTTAAAAAATGAGGTCCTACTAAATGCTACTTTGTCACATTTCTGTTTTTCACCTTAAAAAAGACAAGATGACACACACCTATAATCCCAGTGGCTCAGGAGGCTGAGGCAGGAAGATTCCAGTTCAAAGCCAGGCTCAGCAACTTAGCAAGATTCTAAGTGAGACCCTGTCTCTCAAATAAAAAATAAAAGGGGCTGGAAATGAGGCCTAGTGGTGCCCCTGGATTCAATCCCTGATAGAAAGAAAGAGAGAGAGAGAGAGAGACAGACAGACAGACAAATAAAGAAATTCCCTAATACATTAGATTTTGTTAGGAGGCATGCTTTTAATAAATTATCTGTACTATGCTTTAATGAGTTAACAAAATTTATTTAACTGGTCCCCCTCTTTCAATGGACATTTACTTTGGTTTCTTCCAAATGTTCAGCATGATATAGCCTTTGGTGGTAAACTTATACACAAATACCACATCTCTGATTATTTTCCTAGGATCCTAGAAATGAATTTGCTGCAGTAGATCAAAAAATGAACACGATTTCCAAGCTTCTGCTGCACACCGTCCACTTTCTACAAAGGTTGTCCGATTTCTATTCCACTCGTAGAGATTGAGGATCACTGTTTCACTTCACTGTCTTCAAGACTGGTTATTATCCTAATGTGTTTTGAAAGAATCATTGTCCCGGGACTAGTGGACTTGTGGATAGTACTAAATCAGAGATTTTAGATGATTTATTCATTCAGAAAAAGAGTCCATATGGTCGCAGGCCACAGGCTATTGTGGCTGTGGGGTACTTTTCTAAAGGCATCACCTGAACATGTGCTGTTAGAATTCTGGACCGGGAGTAATAAAGGAGGTTGATATGTGGAAATTCAGCAGAAAAGCTAGCCTCATGCCGCAGTGACAGACTGAGGGAAAGGCAAGGGCTGTTCTCGTTTACCTCCTGTCTGGCTGGTCCCTGAGGTGACCTTGGGCTGCCAGACGCCCTCCTGCAGGGTAGAGCAGCGCCCTCCTGCAGGGTAGAGCAGCGTGGTGCTCTCCTTCCTCTGCCTGGGAAGACCGCCTTCTCCTTTACGTCACACCTACACTACCTGGCCTTGCTGTGTGCGGTGCCTGATTTTTTGTTTTCTCTGCTGAAATGGCCGGCCCTGCTCATTTCCAGGGGCTCTCTGCGTCTTCTAGATGAACTTGCCCATCTTCATTCCCCCTCCTGTCAGATGGTTGGCTCTGGGTCCTGCCTGTGCATTAAACCACTTTAAAACTTTTCAGAAGCCAAGCTTTTAAAAACACAAATTGCCAGGATCCATCCCAGGTCAGTTAAATCTGAATCTCTGGCATGAAGCCCAAGAATAAGTTTTTTTTTTTTTTTAAGTTCCCCACAAGATCGGAAATATCCCTGAGCATTGAGGTTCACTGGGCTAGACGGGGCACGGAGCCACGTCTAAGGCTAAGGCAGGACACCTGAGTGTTCTGAGGTATGCAGTGAATTTCCTTCTGTTCTTTGGGGTAATTAGCATGGATGTTGAAAAATAGGCAAGAAATGCAGAAAGCACACTCATATTTTGAGATCTGGCACACACGCTCCCCAGGTTGCTGCTGGTTGGTCTGGTATTGATCAGCCAGGTAGGTAGAGGTGGTGACAAATGCCACATGGATGACATCTGTCTGTCAGACCTCTCAAGCTCCTGTGGAAAAGATTGTTTGGGTGACTTGAGGCTCTAGTTTTCTTTTGTGTGAGCCCTGAGAGTGAGAAGCAGACAGAGCTGCAGTCTTGAAGTTTAACTTATAGACAGAGGCTCTAAGGTGACTCTTCCAAATGTTTCCGCAGACACACAGCCATCACAGAAGTTCTGGATGTTCAAGTGCCCTGCCTGGCAGGTTTAATCTGTTGAGCATCTGGGGATGTGTCTGTGCAGAAAGCAGCCTGTGCAGACAGACAGGCAGTCAGGAAGGTGCAGTGTGTGTCTGGTTGTCAGTGATCACTGAGCTGCCCCTAGCTGAGAGCCTGCTCTGTGGGGCAGGGGACTGGTTTTACATCTTAGACAGCCCTCCCAGGTTTAAAGAAACAAATGCAAGAAATGATTATATAAGTTAAGAAAGGTTGATCTAATTGTTCCAAATCACCAGCTGGAAAGTGTCAGGGCCAGGATCCAAGTCTCCTTAGCATTAAAGCCAGGGAGTTTGTGCTGATTAGAATGGAGATGGAATTGTGGCTGTGCATATGGGGAGTCTTGAAACCACTAATGGATTGGCAACAGCCGCGGGAGACTGAAGAGAGTTTTTCTTCAAGTTCATTGTTTCTGCTTCCTGTGCAACAAATTGGAAGGAGTGGGCAAGCAAAAGAGGTACTGTAATTGTCTTAAAGGAAGACCCAACAGACGCAGGAAATGGCCATTTTCTATTAATTTATTCAGAATGTTTTTTTTTTTTTTTTGGTGGGGGGTGTACTGGGGATTGAACTCGGGGGCACTCGAACACTGAGCCACATCCCCAGCCCTATTTGTATTTTATTTAGAGACAGGTGCTTAGCACCTCAATTTTACTGAGGCTGGCTTTCAACTTGAGATCCTCCTGCCTCAGCCTCCTGAGCCACTGGGATTGTAGTTACCACATCTGGCTAGAAGTTCTTTAGTTGGGATTTTATAAGTGCCTGTCTCATGCCAACCATCATGCCCAGCCCCAGTGTGAATTTTTTTTTCATTCCTTGTTTTTATCATATAGATATTTCCCATCACAGTACAAGTTAAAAAGCTAGTATAATACATTTCCAGTAGCCCATCACTCAGTCCCAATAGTCCTCAACATTTTCCTGATTGTTCCTGTGGTGCTGGGGACGGTGCTGGACCTCGTGTGGGCCAGGCAAGCGCCCTACCACTGAGTCACATCCCCTGTCCTGTTGTCCTGATCTTTGTTTCATCAACTTCCTTTTTAGATTTCTCCTGGAGTGTGTTAAAGACAACTCCAGAGAGTGTGTTGTGTCACTTGCAAGCCCTTCCTGATCCATCTCTATCAGATATTTGGCAACTGACATGTTTTTTGCTAATCTATGACTGTGACTTTCAAGTTTAATTTTTAAAAGTTTGTTTAACCTTTAAAAAAAGGATATAAGTTAAGTGACTTATTGTGAGTGGACTATTAGTTGCAAATTGTAATCAGCAGGTTTTATCAGATGCAAAAATGGGTGCTCCCCCTTCTACCTCTTGTCAACAATATTAGGAATAACAGCTACCATGGTAGTGGCTTTACCTGGGTAGGACATGAATTCTTACACCAACCCAAGGAAGAAGGAATATTTTCCCTATTTTTCTGGTGAGGAAGCTGAGAGTCATGTGTCTGGGAAATTTCCATGCCATCTGGGCTGTCCCCATACCAGCCATGCACGTGTTCCTGTTACAGTGCCCACTTGTCACAAGTCTCCTTTCTAGAAGCCGAGCTTTGTGTTAGTGGTGTGTATTCAAAGAAAGTGCTTCAGAGTGGAGTCACAGATTTCCATGACCGTGAGGTGGTGCAGCAAGGCAGGTGACAGGTGGGAAGGGGTGGGGCCAGGGAGCTGTCAACTCAGGGAAATAGGCAGCGAGGACCTGCTAGAACCGGCAGCTTCTTTGCCATCTGAGGTGAGGAACTGTTTCTGCCAGAACTTTTAATTTTGCAAAACAAATTGAAAGTCTTGCTTTTATTCGACTGCTCTAATTTTTAAATTGCTCTTTGGATCAAGCAATCACTCATGGACTTTCTAGCATACTGTTCATAATTTCTGCTTTAGAGCAACTTTTAAAGATAAATTCTGGTGGCTAGGGATGTGACTCAGGGGTCAAGTGCTGCTGGCCATGCATGAGGCCCTGAGTTCAATCCCCAGCACCATAAAAAAAAAATAACAATAAAAAAATAAAAATAAACCAAGCCAAAATATAATAATTCAGGACATCAGTTTTTCAGATCTTATCAGAATTAATGACCACAAGGCTGAGGATAGGATGATGTCATTTATTCCTTTTAGAGATAATAGAACTTTAGCTCAAGGGTTTCCAGTAGGTAGAACTAGGATTCAGATCCCAGCCTGTCTGTCTCTAGCATGCTTTTCCTTCTTTCTTATGTATTAGAAGCTTGTTGAAGCTACAACCAAGAGTCAGTCAACACATTCAGGATGTTTTACATTGAAACTGATTAAAATAGCTGTGTAATATCCATATTTACCTTCTGTGATAACCCGAGAACTTCTTCTCTAGCCCTTTCTATAGGCAAAAGACCTCAAGAGATTTGGTACCTTGAGGGGCGTAAAATATAATATAGAAATAGCATGTGATAGATTTTTAAATAAAATATACAAATGATTAAAATATATGAAATGTAAACCTGCCTGCTGGCCAAGCACCATGAGATCATTCCTTATTATGAATATAGTCACAAGTTGCGACTTCTCGAAAACTCTGAGTGCCCTGGAGAGGGCAGCCTGCTCTAGAATATGAAGATCCCAAAAGCGAAGCCTTCACTTCACCTCAAGTCCCTGCTGCCCCTTGTCTCCTCCTCCTGACCTTCTTCTCTACTCCTGAGCATCGGCTCCCGCCAGCACTGGAGTCCACATGTGCAGACAGACGCCCCCACCCTGGCATGCCGTGGGTCTGGGGGAGCCTCCTCCAGGTGCACTGAGAATCCCTCTCCTGGGGCCTGGTCTCTGCTTCCTGGAGCTTACACTCACTCTCCATCGATTCCCCCCTTCCCGTCCACTCTTCCAAGGTGGAGACCCTTGCAGGACAAGGTGTTTGGAGATTTTCTGATTATAGAAAGTGCTCTCTAGGGGGATGATGCTCAGCCCCCAGCTAACAGTAGTGAGCCCTGTTCTGTGTACCTCACAAATTAAGAAGCACTTAAAGACTTAAAGGCATTTTTTAGCCTAATTTGAACGTCTTTGTCTCTCCTTTTTTTTTCTCTTTGTTCCTGGGGATTGAACCCCAGGCACATTACTACTGAGCTCTATCCCTAGCCCTTTTTGTTTTTTAAGACAGAGCCTCACTAAGTTGTTGAGGCTGGGCCTCAAACTTACAATCCTTTTGCCTCCACCTCCCAAACCACTGGGATGACAGGCGTGCCCCACTGCACCTGGTGACCTCATCTTTTTTAAAAACAGAAATAAACCATAGGCCTTTGGATATCAGAAACAATGCCTTCGGGGCTGGGGATGTGGCTCAAGCGGTAGCGCACTCGCCTGGCACGCGTGCGGCCCGGGTTCGATCCTCAGCACCACATACAAACAAAGACGTTGTGTCCGCCGAAAACTAAAAAAAAAAAAAATATTAAAAAATTCTCTCTCTCTCTCTTTCTAAAAAGAAAGAAAGAAACAATGCCTTCTTTTGTTTCAGTAAATTTCCTGTGATAGACAAACTTGTTGAGATCATTCGGTGACCTATGGCCTAAGTTTTTATTTTTTTAAGCCGTAACATTTGGATACTTCCTGTCCTCTCTGAAGATTTAGAAAGAAGGAGCCTGTTGAACTTGATTGCATTTGGCTCTATGGTCTCTGTTTAAGATGCGCATCTGTTTTCATTCTGTCCCTGTTTTTCAAGGATAACCTAAATCACAAATTGACTACGCAGCATGGGAAGGGGTGATATGGTGGCTAGGCTGGGCATGCAGCTCAGTGGCAGAGCACTGGTCTGGCATTCCTGAGGCCCTGGGTCTGATGCCAGCATTGGGGTGGCGAGAAACTTTGACATTGAAGAAATGATGGTGGGGGTGGCAGAAACCAGAGAACACAACACAACAGAGGACTCGTCTCCACCTCATTCCTCTATGTGATCCACTTGCTGTTGCTCCAAGTCCCTGGAGTTGGGGGGGACCTCTGCACACAGGGTCGGTGAGGTGGCAGGAACAGGGCTGCCTACCTGCTGTTGGTGTCAATAACCAGGGGCCAGGAGGCAAGAAGGAAGTCCTGCCTGCATGGAAAACAGCCTCTCTGCACATCGAGACGTAGGAAGTTAGATTAGAAAACAAGCCACAGAACCATTCTTCAGATAAAAAAACAATTGAGTAGGAGAAGGGATACAAATGAAGGTGGATGGTTTTGTTTATTACTTAAGGAAAGGGAGGTTTTAGAAAATTAAAATAATTTTAATATGCACACCACCAGCACTAAATTCAGCTGATTGGGGAAAATATCTCCGTCACATGGGTGCCTTCATTCTTTGCATGGAACCTAGTTGTGCAAAGCCAGGGGGACAGCATTGTGTCCAGACCTTTGTCTTTATTCTTGGCCTCAGGGTAAGCCAAGCCACTTTTATTTGCCTGTTTTTTAGCATTTCATTCTGCCAGAGCTCCTCCAGAAGTGGGGTGTGGCGGACAAGCCCCTCCATGTTGATCTCACTTGCTTTTCTTTAGACATATTCCAGGAATAGCCAGCCTGAACCTCAGAATCCACAGCTTCCTCTTAGATGGGGACATTTGCTCCAGAAGAACTTGGGGCCATTGTGTTCTGTCTGTGACGAGTTGCAGAGACCTTGCGCCAGGAACCGTCCTGTCTGACAAATAGCAGCATTCAGTTCCTGTTGAGGAACAGCTATGTGGATTTAGTTACTGTACATTTCTACAAGAACAGCTTTGGGGTCTCACTTTACAGAGCATCAGAAGACTCCACTAAACTGTCTAGTCACATAGTTAGCTGGTAAGAGAGAGAGAGAGAGAGAGAATACTACTACCCTGCTTAAAGCTTCTGTGGCTTTACATCTCACACACATAAAATCCCAAGGCCTGCGAGCCCTTTATATGAATTCTTCTGATCTCTGATACCTTTTTTGGGAACATACTTAGAAATGGGATTTCTGGGTTATAGGAATACATCTGTTCAGATGCTGCCAGACAGATTTCCAGAACAGTTGTACCACTTCATACACCAGCCAACCAGCAGTATCTGAGCATATCGGTTGCACCTTATTCTTGTCAATGCTTGGTATTGTCTGTAGCTTTTATCCATCCAGTGTATTTAACCCTTGTAGCCATTGATTCTGTGGGTGGAGCTCAGGCTTTAAGCAGTTTGTGTGTGTGTTTTCCTTTTGCATTTCTAAGAGATGTAAAACCTTACATGTTCTTTCTCTGCCTTCAGATAGGAAGACTCACTGTGGCTTTTGAAACAGTTCAACAAACTTGCAGGTAGTGGTAGGCATTTTACCTGAAGAGATGGCTCGCTCATCATCTTCTTGGTGATTTGTTGACTTATGGAAGACACGTTTGACTTAGAAACGTCATTCAGCTGGTCACATGCATGAGAATTTCCAGATATCTCTTTGGAGTCACCAAACGGCTTTAAATGGTCAATAGAAGTGTAGTCCAGGTGCCTGGCATGTGACAAGTCAATTGTCCTTGTGTCACAAATGTGTCAGCCAACTTGCCCACATGATACTCGGTGCTGCAGCAGATTTTTTTCAGAAACACTGATATTGCTCCTTTGCAGAAATTTGGAACCATCCGGGCAGACTTAATTGAACAGATGAGATTCAAACAGAGACTGAAAGTGATCCAGACGCTAGAGGACACGACCAAACGCAACGTGGTGAGTCCTGCGCCAGCAGCAGGGCCTGCTGTCCCCACCCTTGCTCCTGCTCCTGCCAGCTCATAGAACTTGGAGGAAGGAGGTTAGGGGCTTTCCCAGTACGACACTTTTGGGGAAATTCACCATGCTCTTTCTTTTTATAGGTACGAACCATTGTGACGGAAACTTCCTTCACCATTGACGAGCTGGAAGAGCTTTATGCTCTCTTCAAGGTGAGTTTCAAAGTAGACCCAGGCCTGCCCGAAGGAATGACGGAGTTTGCTTTAATGATTCAGTGAGTTCTTGATTCTGCTCTTAACTCATTAAGGGGAGGTGTGAGTCTTCATGTGCCTATGTGGCAAGGTACAGCTAAGAGTGCAAAACCAGACCACTTAGTCGGAAAAAGAAAATAAACAGATTCTCCTCACTAGCGTAAGCTAATGTCTTAGCTCTTTCCTCTCCAGATGATACCATCACTGTTTTGTTTGACAAGCAAAAAGGTTATTTGCCTTCTAACACTTGTTAGAAGAATGAGAGTAAATCTGCCTAAAATTCTCAAAATTTATAATTTCCTATATTAACCTATAAAGTGCCCTTTAAAAAGATAATTTATCTAGAACTAGAACAAATTTGTTTAAATGCTTTAGGAAAAGGATCATGGATTAAATTCTTGGATTTTAATTTTAGTATTGAGCCCTACTTTCTTACCCGCCCCCGCCCCCCACTGCTGGGGACTGAATCCAGGACCTAGAACATCCTTGATCCTTGAAAGAAAATACTATGTTAATAACTCAATTAATGTAAATATTTTTCTTCTAGAAAAAAAAAGGTTTGTCATAAATATTATTATTAACATCATAGGAAATGGATAGGGGAAAATATTTAAAAACTGGTTTTGATGCAGGTACCAGTTTTATCACCATCTGTAGTTGACTGTCAGAACTAAATCTGGCTACTTAGAGCAATGCAAAGATGGCACCGGAGAAAACACAGAGGAAGAAATAGCAGCAGGGCCAAACACCAATCCTTCTAGATACTGTTGACTTTGGAGAGAAAGTTCTAACATTCCTTCCTGCCTGTTAGCCACTAGAGGGCGCCAGTGTCTTATTAAATATTTGTTTCCCTGGTGCCTGGTAAAGTATCCTCCCCTAGAAAGTGTGCTAAAGGTGTGTATCAAATACCTATATAAATTAATAATTAATTATCAATATGTTAGAGTCCCTGAATTCTTCTGAGAGGACACAGAGGCCAGGAGAGATGGAGAGACTCTAGTTTCACAGCCGATTAGGATAGGCTACAGCGGCATTACCAACAGAGTAGACCACATGCCCCCATCAACCTCTGATCAGCACCTGAGGGTGACGGACCCTGCACCAGCTCAGTAAAATTTTATACCTGTTAAGCACCTGTAGCTAATTGCTCAGTGTAAACTGGTTATCCAAATCAAGGGGTCCCTGTTTCATAAGGGAAATATAATGATCCAGTGGAGGTCAGATTGTAAAGGGATGCTGAAGAAATCTGCTTCACTGGAGGGAAGAGTGGAAGTAGCCCCTGGAGGCAAACAGACAAGAGGTTTTGACAGTAGAAAGATGCTGTAGGACAGCCAGGAAGAAGAGAAGAGCCAGGGGCTGTCCCAGATCCTGAGATCGTGGAAGCCACTTCTCCCCTGGGCTACTGCACTCTGCTCTGTGCACCTTTAGGTATGTGTCATCTGACCCTGAGACTATTGCCTGAAGAAAGCAAGCTTTTCTCATGCTCACAACCCCTGCCCTGGAGGCACAGTGACCAACCCAAATTCCCTAGGTCTGTATCACTCCTGAAGAGAACCTGAGACCCTTGGCCCCAGCACTGTGGAATTAAAAAAAATAAAATAAAAATCAGTTATGAAGCTTTTTTGAGTCTTCAGCACATTTTAATTAACTTAGAATCATTTCACAAACATTTATTGAGCATTGTGGTATGCCAGGGACTCTGCCAGATTTTTTAGTTCTGAGAAAAGCCATTTCTGGCCAGGCACAGTGACACATGCTTATAATCCCAGCAGCTCAGGAGGCTGAGACAGGAGGATCGAGAGTTCAAAGCCAGCCTCAGCAAAAGTGAGGCGCTAAGCAACTCACTGAGACCCTGTCTCCAAATAAAATGCAAAATAGGGCCGGGGATGTGGCTTAGTGGTGGAGTGCCCCTGATTTCAACCCCCAATACCGCCCCCCCTCAACAAAAAGCCATTTCTGGGTGTTTTCCTGCAAATAAAAAGGAATGTTTCATTTTTCCAAGGAGCTCACTGCTTAACTTTGGGATAAAACCTGGGTAAGTGGCTGCACCTGATACAGATTTGATAGACTATGTGGTTTGGGGCCTTTTGTTTTGGTCTTTCTTGTACACTTTCCATATTGTCCCTTCTGTTCCAATCTCCATGCCCTTAGTCCCCAAGTGGTGTCAGAGGGGTCTCATCCCTGAATGAGGAGAGGAGAGGATCTTTGCAGGCTGTTTCCTCCTGATTGTTTTGGGTCCCTTGTGAGCACCAGCACTGTGTTCAGACCTGGCTCAGAATAGCCCAGGGGCTCTCTTAGGGGGAAATGCTTTGAGCACCATTATCAGTGATGCAGCTGAGCAGAAAGGGGCTATTTGATCCACAGGGGCTTCCTGGGCTCCCCCCAGGATAGTTCAGAGTATGGCTCAAACCTGCAGGCTGCTGGCGCCTCTGTATCTCCGCCCACCCCCATCACGTGGTGCTTCCACCCTGTAGCCAGGAAGGTAGTCTAAGGCCCTGGGGGACCTTGACACTGCTTCCTTTTGTCTGCCATCTGCTGGAGCTGCATTGCAAAAAAAAAAAAACCGGCTGATTCTGCTCACCACTGCCTTCTAGATTTTTTAGCTACAGTTCCCAGTAATAATGGTGGTTGCTTTAGACATTGGTCTTCTGAGCACCTTTTCTGAGTGCAGAATTGAAGTACTCAGGCTCACAATGGAATTCCCCCGCTCTTCAGAACCTCTGGGCAGGGAGCCGTCCACTGTGGAAGAGTTTTATTCTATTGCATTTGCTCATGGTGAGATGCCCAGACAGTACACTGGGGAATAAAGTAAAAATAGAGTCCTCCTCTTCATGCTCCTCTGGCCTCCCCACCTAGAGCAGACTGTTAATGTCTGTGTGGGGGTGGCCCTCCTTCTAGACATTTCTACCACAGACTATCTCTGTCACCTTCCTAGCATAGATCATTCATACTTCTCCCAGAGTCACCAGTGACCTGGTGCCTGAAGAGGCTGCCTGGTTCTCCAGGGCAGGATCTGGGAGTGGTTCTACCTAGCCTTTCTATACTAGGCATTTTTCGGGAGGTGTCTGCAGAGGCGTGAGGCCAGGAGACCACACTTGCGGATGCACGACTGTGTGACTGTGGTAATAGTTAAGTGTTTGGGGGCCACGGGAGCAGGAGGTAATCATCCCGCTCATTCTTTCTCAGGCAGAACATCTGACCAGCTGCTACTGGGGTGGGAGCAGCAACGCGCTGGACCGGCATGACCCCAGCCTGCCTTACCTGGAGCAGTACCGCATCGACTTTGAGCAGTTCAAGGGGATGTTCGCCCTTCTCTTTCCCTGGGCGTGTGGCACTCACTCTGACGTGTTGGCCTCCCGCTTGTTCCAGCTCTTAGATGAAAATGGCGACTCCCTGATCAACTTCCGAGAGTTTGTCTCTGGGCTAAGTAAGGATGGGCTCTTATTGCGAGTCTGAGTTGGGATGGGACAAAGATGGTGGAGGAAGAACCCCAGGGTCCCTCGATGCTGTTCTCTGGGTCGCAACCCTGCATGACCCCTGCAGGTTGGGTCTTGAGGACAGAGAAGCACGTACATGGCTGGCAAACTGATTGTAAAACGTGTTTCTAGTTAGGGCTCTAGTATATGGATAATTCATTTTCTTCATTAGGCAGCTGTCAGCCCAAGTTCAAAACACCATGTCAGAGAATGCACAAGGCAAGAAACGTTAACGTAGTCTCTGTGACCTCACCCATGGTAGGGTGACCAGGAAAAAGTAATGTCTAGGTGGTATAACTTGTCTTTGACAAAAGAATATCATTGATTTGATATAATATGCAATCATCCACAATTTTATGACATATAATTTCTTAAGAATATTTCACAGTGTTTTTAATAAAGGGCTGAAGAAACACAAGATCACTGCAGGCTGAATGGAAGTCCGTTGGTCTCCACTTCCCCGGGGATGGAGGACACACGCCCACGCCCTCCACCTCACCAGCAGCTCCGGAGCTGCTGCTGTCCGCCAGCCTCTTGCCTGGCTCCTTACTGCTTTTTTCTTATTGGATTCTTGCTGCATTTATAACTGGGCAAAAATGCTTGGCCCAGCTGATGTGAGGCGGTGGGTGTAGCAGGCACTATGTCAGGTTGTCAGGATGGAGTCAGAACTCTTTAGCCCTAATTGTGCCAGCCCAGGACCGTGGGCCACATACTTTAAATGATAAGCCCAAGGAAAGATGGAAGGGCAGGCAGGCAGCCAGCAAGGATTCTAAAGAGCACCCTAACTCTGGAACAGTAATATCTAGAAGGTACAAAGGTCAGGGGAAGTGGAGAGTTTTTGAAATGGCAATGTTGCCTTAGATGTTTAAATGATGTCCACGTTGGAAAGCTCTTTCCATGTGCCTACGGTGGGACTTGGAGGAATTCACCTCTGCCAAGGACAGGAACGGTTCTGAAGCTTTGGAACTTGAACTGTGTCACTTAATCCAAACAACAGCCCTTTGAATTAATAATGATGAAGGCGGCTACCAGTCATGCAGGATTTACTCTGTGTCAGGTGATGCTCCAATGGTTTATGTGTTTTTAATTTGCTTACAGGGACACAGATACAAACTTGGTGTTTGAATCCAGGCATGGTTTGTACTGTTACTATTATGCTTAGGCTCCTGTAACAAAGTAAATTAGACCAGGGAATACATAAACAACAGAAATTTATTGCTTACATTCTGGAGACCAGGAAATCTAAGATCAATGCAGCAGCATAGTTAAGTTTCTGTGGAGAGACTGTTCCTCTCATAGGTGGCTCCTTCTGTGTGTCCTTGCATGCTAGAAGCACAAACAGCCTCCTTCAGACCTCTTCTCTGAGGATGCTGATCCCATTCATCCAATTCCTTAGGCCCTAATCATACCCCAGAGGTCCCATATTCCTGATACCATCACAATGAAGCTCAAGTATCAACACGGGACTTTTAGAGACATTCAGCCACAGCATTCCCTGTCTACTTACTGTTATTGTTCCCATTTTTCAGCCGATGAAATGAGAGTTCAGAAAAGTAATTTGCTGAGACATTGATTTTCAGGCGATAAGTAAGAAATCTGTTATGAAGCTGGACCAAGAGGCACAGTTAGGACATACTGGCCCCAGGGGTAAAGTAAGGCCCACCTGTTTCCAAAGCTCATCCTTTTACTACTGAGATAACAAAGGGAAATATCTTCTAGAAACTGTCCAGGGAAATAATGATTGAGAGTTGACATAGAAAGAGGATGTGGTGAGAAGACAGGAGAGTCAGGCTTGGTGGCACATGCCTGTCATCCCAGTGGCTCAGGAGGCTGAGGCAGGAGGATTACAAGTTTAAGGGCAACTCTGCGATTTAGCAAGGACCTAAGCAACTTAAAGAGACCCTGTCTCTGAAAAGGACTGGGAATGTGGCTCAGTGGTTGAGCACTTCTAGACATCCCCACTACAAAAAAAAAAAAAAAAAAAAAAAAAAAGGAAAGAGTATACAAACTGGGTCAGATGAGAAAGTCAGAAATGTTGGAGATGCCTGACCTGGGAACATAAATTGCTCAGAAACCATAGCTTAGGACAGAATAGCTTCCCTGAAGACCTGAAATATCACTGCCTAGAAGAGGCCATGGGTCTGTTCTGTTTGGCTTTAGCAAGGGGACCACGGGGAAGTGAAGTGGTTCTGAGCCATTTTCCAGTCATGGATCTTCTAGGATCTGACACAAATTTATGGGCGTTGTCTTCCCAAAAAGTGACACATGTACATAATCACAAAATGTCACGTTTTATGGGGTTCATGGACCTTATAGTGAGACCACAGGTTAGAGGAATTTAGACTAAAGTAAAAGTTGCAGAGGGACTTTCAGTGTTGAGAGAGTGCACCTGGGACTAGACGCCTCTGGCTGTAAGGAGCAGCTCTCTGTGACTGTCTAGCAGAGGCGAGACTGCACCCTCCCCTGGGTGGGGACAGGAGAGCCCCAAGTTAAGTGGAAGGTTGGCCCAGGCAATCTTTCATGTCCCTTTCAGCCCAGATATAGGATTCCTCCTCTTCTTTTTCCAAATCTGATCATCTTTAGGCACTCTGAGAATATATATTAAGGATTTTCAAATTCCAGGAATAAATGTGAACTTTAAAGAAAAAAAGAAAGGATTCTTGAGATTGAAACTATAATGACATAGCAGCAAATACATCAAACTAAATTAAAATGAAGAAACTTTTAGGAGAACTCAGAAATGACTAAAAAGGATTTCTAAAATAAGTAATGTGAAGCAATCTCAAACTTATTGTGCGTTTATTTCTGAATTCTCGTGGTTATTTAGGATGTAGAGATCCAGTTACACGAATTTCCTTATCAATAACCGTACTTACTACATGTCAGGCACTATTCAAAGTGCTCTATGTGTGTAACACCCATAGTCCTTGTGTTTCATGGAGGCCTGATGTCAAGATCATGGGTAGAATCTTCTTTTATGATCTTACCTCGCAGAAGGGAACTGAGGTACAGAAATGCTAACTCTCCCACAGCACATAGTAGGTACAAAGGATTTGAAAATAAGACTCCTGGTTCCAGAGCTCCTAACCCAAATATGTCCTGGACAGACTTGTTGTCACACAGTGTCTTGGTTCCACTTTGTATTACAAAGTGGACTTTCCCCTGGAGCACAATGCTTGGGAGGATCACTAGCACACACAACCTGGTTCACCCTGGTACTTATGTGACTTCTAGGTGCCGCATGCCATGGGGACCTCACAGAGAAACTCAAACTTCTGTACAAGATGCACGTCTTGCCTGGTAAGTGAGCTACACAGACAGCATACGTGCCAGAAACCAGGATCTGGCCTGAAATCCACCCCCACCCCATCCCCAAACACACACCACACAGGTTTTCTTTTTCTTTTTTTTTTCCTTTGGTGTCAACTCTGCCTCTTTTTGGTATGCAAAATCATTCATTGGTCACTGTGGACACACTGAGACAGATGATGTGAGTTCCTGAATCAGCTTGTGCTTGACCATGGTCTGATGTATGAGTTGTGCTAATAGAAAACAGCACGAGCATCTGCGAGAGAAATGGGGTCACCTTTGGGGAACCAGAAATGTGAGAGAGAAGATGACACTGGGAGGTGCTGGGAGCCTGTCTCAGGGGACCCCTCTTCACATTGGCAGGCACAAGTGGACACCATAGTGAACTTTTGAGTTCAGTGTTAAACAAGGCTGTTCTCCGCTGGGATGTATCTAAGCAAATACCAGAAGTACAAAATAGAGACTGGCACTGAGGATAGAGACAGGGAAAACTTTAGATTTGGGGATTTTGTTTATAATATACAGTGACCTAAAATTGGTTTATAAAGCATGATGCCATGAAATTTGGGGATTTTTTTATAAAAAGGAAAACATAGAGTTTGGTATGAGGCTGTTTAAAAAGGAAGATAGGGTTAGAAATGGAGTGATTTCCACTAAGGTTTTAGAGATGGTAGGGTCTCCCAGGCCCCCAGTAATGGGCCTCCACCCCACTCTTGTAACTTTAGCTTTTCATTCTCCCCATCACTTTCTCACGTAGTTCAAGCACACTTTGATTGAGTCATGTCACTACAGTATGACAGTTGTTTCCTCCTTCTGCAGAGCCATCCTCTGATCAAGATGAGCCGGATTCTGCCTTTGAAGCAACTCAGTACTTCTTTGAAGATGTCACTCCGGAGTGTACACATGGTAGGAGACCCTTTCACCAAGAGTACTCTACTTCTCTTTACAGAGCCCTCTGTGCTTAGAAACAGACTTGCCTTGGAAGCTAGTCAGTTAAGAAGGTGCAGATGTCATAGTCCGTCAGCAAAATCCCACTCACTGTCTATTTTGTATAGCACATAAACCAAGAATATTTTTATATTTTAAGTGGATTTTTAAACCAAGAATAAAGTATTTCTTGCCATGTGAAAAGTCTATAAAATTTAAATTTTAGGGCCTACAAATAAAGTTTTACTGGAACACAGCCGTGCTCATTCACTTACACTTTCCCTATGGCTGTCTTAATGCTCTAGTGGCAGAATTAAGCAGACCATATGGCCTGCAAAGACTGAAATACAGTCAGCTTTCTGTGTCCACTGGTTCTGTAGCCACAGATTCAACCAAATGCATATTACATATTCTGAAAAAAATGCATCTATACTGAACATGGACAGACCTTTTTTCCTGTCATTATTTTCTAAACAGTACAGTATTAACATTTTTCATAACATTTACACTATTAGGTATTTTAGGTCTCTAATGGTGATTCAGAGTATACCGGAGGTGCACATAGGTTAATGCAAATACTGTGCCATTGTACATAAGAGATGAGCATCTGTGGAATTTGGTATCAACGAGGGTATCCTTAGTGCCCCACAGAAACCAAGGATGACTGTATTTTACTATTTGACCCTTCACAGAGGAAATGTGCCAGCCTCTCCTCTGTGTGATTATTAGGCCTATGTGTGCGAGATGCAGCTCATTGTATATATCTCCAAATGCGTGTATTCACTTCTGTGCTGTCTTGTCTTGGGTGAGTCCAAGCACCGTTCCTCAGCTTGCTACTGGACGTCTGCCTAATTCCTTGCTCAGCTTCATCCCTTCTTCTAAGTCTGAAAGTAAACATCAGGTTGTTCCTGAGTTCTTTGGCCTCTTAAATCTTGCCATCCCAGAATAAGCACAACTTAGACCTGCCCTTAAACTGCAAGCACCTAAGTGAGTGGATAGAGAGGTTGAGCCAGACTCACTTCTCTTAGGACTGACAAGTTGAGGGGAGACATCCGGACACTTATTTAGGCCAGTGCAGGCAGTTCTGCATCTCTGAGCCTCAGTTTCCTTGTGTGAAAATGGAGAGGATCATTGTCACATTAGGTGCATGAGGACCCAAGGAGATAATGTAGGAAGGCTTTTCCCATAGTGCCTTCACACATCTACAATATTCTTAGTATCGTTAGCCATAATATTCTGACTACAAAATGTTAGCTATATCTTTCTTAGTGGATACATATTTCTGGAAAGGAATCTCTTGTTTGGGAAATGCTTCAGGAATGGTCACATGCTGATAGCATTTGATAGCCTCAAAAGATTCTTTTTAAAGAATGTGTTTTTTTTTTTTTCCATTCCAAAAGCACTATTGCTTTGCTCTGAAAATTGTAAGACGGTAGATAGAACATGTAAGATAAGCTAAAGATGTCTTAAAATTCTAACCACACAAAGGTAGCATTTAATATATTAAAACATTTCTTTTCAGTATTTTTCACATAATATACGTAGTCAGGTATACACACACATACATACACACACATCAAATGACCTATACAATTTTTGTTGTTGTTGTTTTGTGTGTGTGTGGTGCTGGGGATTGAACCCAGGGCCTTGTGCATGCGAGGTAAGCACTCTACCAACTAAGCTATATCCCCAGCCTCTGTTGTTGTTTTTAAATGTCTGAAAAACTGTGTGTGTGTGTATATGTGTGTGTTATCATCAATTATACACATAGAGCTTTGTGTCCTGCTTTTCTGACTAAAAATCCAATGAGAATGATAGTTCCACTAAAAATTATCTGAAAGCATGATTTTGAAATGTCTACATGATATCTGCTTCATGGGCTTACATACATTAAATATTTTTTTATATCTACTTTTTTATTAAATTATTTTCGACATTCAGAGGAGAGGAATTTCCTGGTGACACATACTACATTATCCTCACTTTGTCTGAACAGTTGCTGAGGATAGTCTGACCTCACTTACTGTGAAGGTCACCTACCTGGCCAACCAGCCTCCTCTGGGCTGGCCAGAGAGGTGCTGCAGTCCACACATCCTGCAGATGGCAAACTGAGTCTTCATCTGAGGACCACTGCCCCTGCCTTTTGAAGTTCTTACGTGCCCTATAATTTGCTGTTTTAAGAAGAAAACAGAAAACAATTTCAAGTGGGTTCCTTAAAAGTCATATTTTTGAAATGCCAAATTATAAATCTTGAAATATTTTATGGCACATAACAGTTTAGAAAAAAGTATCTTTCGTCTATGAACATAGATTTTAATTTCCTTGGAACAGTGAGTTCCTGGTCTTTTGCGGGGCCTGGCAAAGATAAAATCAATTTTCTACCTACAAAGTTAAGAGGATAATAGCACAGAGAAGGGAAAGAAAGCACATTCATGGGAGTAAGCACCATCTTTATTAAATTCCAAAGACTGTGGAGCTTCAACTCTTTAGTTTTTAGTTGTACACAGAACCCCAGCTGTGAGCAAGAAATCTGGGGGAGTCCTTCACTTAGAAATGGGACTGTCAAATGAAATATGAGACCTTCAGAAAAATTATAATTTCAAGAAGTAATTTATTTTTAGTGTAAGTATGCCCCATGTAATATTAAGGATATACTTATACCAAAACAACAACTACTACAACAAAGTATTCATTGTTCATCTGAAGTTCAAATTTTACTGGGTGTGCTAGTTTTGTTGTTTGTTTTATTTGCTAAATCAGACAGCCCTACTAGAAGTCTGTTTTCCATAACACGGAAATATTGTATAACACAACATTTTTTCTTCTGGATGTTTCTTGGTAGTTGTTGGATTGGATAGCAGAAGCAAACACAGTGCTGATGATGGCTTTGTTACAGTGAGTCTGAAGCCCGACAAAGGTACATGTTTTCTCGTCTGTGTTTCCCTTCTTGCCAAGCGAGCCCTTGTTTCTTGACCTGCAAACACTTACCTTTTCACATTTGGGTTTCAGGGAAGAGAGCAAATTCTCAAGAAAATCGTAATTACTTGAGACTCTGGACTCCAGAAAATAAGTCTAAATCAAAGAATGCAAAAGATTTACCCAAATTAAATCAGGTAAGTTCTTACTTTCTAATCCTGAAGCTGTTTTTTCCGGTCATACATCATCAATGTAGAATAAACACCCTTCAAAGATAATGGTAACCTGGGGGCATTTGATTAGTATCTGTTTGGATCTACTTTTTATGCACCAAAAATATGCTCAGTTGTAAGAAAATGATCTCCTCAGAGAAAATTTGAACCCCAAAATACTCAATTTTGAGACTACACACATCTCATCTCAATCATTAAAAAACACCCTGAGAGTCTCAGAAGAAAAACCCCTGCTGTCTTCAAATTGCTGTGCTCAGATATAAAGATGTCTGACACAGGTTTTCCTTAGAAAGCTAAAGTGTAATGAGGGAGAAAAAAAAAAAAAGATGTAAGTAATTATAACAGGATGAAAATGCTGTTTCCTAAAAGCAGGACAGGTAATCATCTGCTAGGGCCATTGCTTCTGCCTGGGGAGATGAGGGGAGTGTCCTGGGAGAGGACCTGGGAGCTAACCTTGGAAAAATGGAGATGAATTCTAAAGTGTGGAGGTGTGAAGAGAGCTAAGTCTAGGGTTTCTTTGAGATGTCAACAGGGAAGACAAGGGGGCAGCGAAGCAAAAGCATGACATAGTCAATCTCCTCATTAGGTGTTGGATAGATGGTTATTACTTATTAGTTCCACTTTCATGGATGTTGAAACTTTCAAATTAAAAAATGAAAACTCCCATAAAGAGACTAGAAACGTCGTACCCATCCTCCTCCGGGGGGAACTTTCTGGGGATCTCTGGAGTCTTGGCTTAATGGGGTACCAGTCCTGTCTCTGGGCGCCCCACCCACCAGATTTCACTTTCTTGGGGTCCTTCCTGATCTCTTTCCAGGGACAGTTTATCGAGCTTTGCAAGACAATGTACAACATGTTCAGCGAGGACCCTAACGAGCAGGAGCTGTACCACGCCACGGCGGCGGTGACCAGCCTCCTGCTGGAGATCGGGGAGGTGGGCAAGCTCTTCATCACCCCGCCGGCCAAGGAGGGCACAGGCGGCGGGCCACCCTGCCACCAGGGCATCCCGGGCGTGCTCTTCCCCAAGAAGGGGCCCGGGCCGCCCTACGTGGTGGAGTCCACGGAGCCGCTGGCCGCCAGCCTGGCCGGCGACGGCGAGGAGCACTCCCTGGGCGGTCAGATGGAGGACATTAAGCTGGAGGACTCCTCGCCCCGCGACAACGGGGCCTGCTCCTCCATGCTGATCTCCGACGACGACACCAAGGACGACAGCTCCATGTCCTCCTACTCGGTGCTGAGTGCCGGCTCGCACGAGGAGGACAAGCTGCACTGTGAGGACATCGGGGAGGACACGGTGCTGGTGCGCAGCGGCCAGGGCACGTCGGCGCTGCCCCGGAGCACCAGCGTGGACCGGGACTGGGCCATCACCTTCGAGCAGTTCCTCGCCTCGCTGCTCACCGAGCCCGCCCTGGTCAAGTACTTTGACAAGCCCGTGTGCATGATGGCCAGGATCACCAGTGCAAAAAACATCCGGATGATGGGCAAGCCCCTCACCTCGGCCAGTGACTACGAAATCTCTGCCCTGTCGGGCTGACAGGGCGCCTGCGCAGCGGAGGGGAGCGACTGACCTATGTTCTGTGTGGGGGTCTCTTTTCCTTTTAAATTAAATATTTGTTAGTATCTGGCTCGAAGCCTAGTGTTTTCATAATGTGATACAGTAAAAACTGTGGCGAAATATCTAAACACCTCAATGTAGACACTGTACTCTCTTGCTGGGGAAGGGGGGTTCCCAGAATACCGCTTATTCAGTGAATTCCCCCCAAAACAGATGAATCTGTCAGTGACGTGTATTATAACTTATTAATCTTGCTGTTGAACTGTACACATGGTTTAAAAAAAATAGTGCTGTTTAATGCTAAATAAGGCAGCAGTCGTTTCTGTATTCGGACTTTTAAATAAAATTAGAACTGTAAGAAAAAGGAAATGCCACAAACACGCAGCTGTTCTTGGCGAAGGTCTTGTTGGCTGGGGATATCCTGCACCACTCTAGCAAGTATTAAGAATATTTTTCAAGATTTGAAATATATTTCCTAAAAATCCTCTATTCAAAAACCACATCCAACAGATGTTCCCCGTTAAGGGGAAAACATTTGGGGTTCCAAACAATAATGGAAGTGTAACTGATTTTTTTACATGGTGGCAAGGGCACTCGTACTTGATACAAATACCAGACCAATTTTACATTAACAAATGGTTCTGATTATTTATGTCATCTGGCCAAAATCCATGGAAAGGGAACAGTCTTTTGTTACAGAAAATGTGCATGTGGCAGCAGAGAGGAGAGAACTCAGGATGGGCTTTTTCATTTTGTTTCATTCTGTTTTTGAAAGAGTAGAAATACTGATGCTTCTGATACTGGATTTTTAGCTTCTTGTTATGCAAATAAAGCAAAAAAAAAAAAAACCAAAACAATGGACTGTACCATTTCCATACTCTCCATAGATTCCAGAAGTTGTACTGTGTCTGGCATATGACCATCTTTTTGTTAAATCGATGTAGAGATCATGTAAACTGAAAAAAAAAATCCTGCAAGGTAATGTAACTAGATGTTTTGAAACAGGGCTTGTCACCTTATGTAAAAGAATAGTATGCTCTATTTCCTGAATGGATGTGGAAATGAAAACTAGCACACCTGCACTTTGAATTCTTGCTTCTTTTTTTTATTGTTGTTATGGTTTCATTTTTTACAGATGTTGGGAGGTTTTTGTCCTTCTTGATGAATTCAAAATCATGTTCACATTTCCTTTGCTTTTTCTGAATATTCCTTTCAACACATTCCTTTATTTTATTATACCTTATGTCCTCGTTTTAGCTGTTGCTGCTGTAATTTTTTATTTTGTTTACAGAACGATTTTTAAACTGTCAAATGAAGTAGAGTTAACCTCAAATAGGATAAATGTGAAGAAATAAAATACTTCAGATATGGCTTTTTATCTTTGTGCTTGAGTTCCTGCCTAAGGCAATGATGTTATTTCTTTGACAAGCTGGTAGGGAAAATTTTATTAGGCAACCAGTTTGACTAAGTTAATATTTATAGGCAAATATTTTGAGATAAGAAATAAAACGTGTGTCATTTTAATGAGTGCATGTGAAATAAGGAAGAGAAGTGTGTTCTATCATCTGATTTAAAATAGTTGTCCCAGGAAAGTAAGAACAGGTTGGAAATTTTTCTATTTAATCCTGATTAGTACACTGACACCATTTGGTCAGTTTAATCAAGTATCTAGCCATTTATTTGATTTGACTCCAAGATGGTTACACTGCAGATGTGAGCTCAGTGTCCCACCCCAGTGGACTTGAGCCTGCACCTCCAGAGCCCTGGGCAGTGGAATATTGGGGAGCTTTCACATAGGAGCACTTAAAGGGACAGCTCCGGACAGGGAAAGAGAACAGACCACAGTGAGGGAAGTGAGGGTGCCCAGAACAGGGGTGGGGACACAATCCCTCCAGCACCACCTTGCACCTGAGTCTGGCCAGGAAGGGGATAAGTCATGTAGAAGTACCACAAGCAGCCCCAGGCAACACAGCCTCCCCCCAAGGTGACACAGGGCATGAACCCTGGCAGCAGGCAGAGGGCACCTCTACAGCCTGATCTCTTCAGGCCAAACTTCTCTAGGAAGGGTGGCTAGAGTTCTGCTTCTTGCCTTCCAGGCTTAAGACATTCTCAGGGACCTCTAGATCTTAGCAGAGTAGCCTTGGCGGGGACGCCTGACTGAAGCCTTGTCTTAGTGCAGCTCCACTTCCTGAATTCAACAGGGAAGCCCAAGGGGAGGGGCCAGCGCCACCTGACCTCTCCTACCTCCAGGGAAGGGCTGTGATGGTGCATTCTTCATTGCCTATCTTGTAAGAAGGCTCTTTTGTTCCAGCATCTCCTTCCAACTTGAGAAGAACAGGAAGTGATGGGGTGAGTGCCGAGAATCCAAGTATTTCACTCCAGCTTCTGCTTTACAATGACTCCTCCATATAACATTTAAGTTCTTTGGCTTTTTTTTTTTTCCTTCTTTTTTAGTACAAGGAATTGTGCCCAGGGGTGCTTAATCGCTGAGCCACATCCCCAGCCCTTTTTATGAGACAGGGCCTCGCTAAATTGCCGAGGCTGGCTTTGAACTTTCAATCCTCGTGCCTCAGCCTCTGGAGTTGTTGGGATTATGGGCTCCTCGGGATATGGCTCAGTGGTTAAATGCCTTTAGGTTCAATCCCCTGTACCAAAAAAAAGAAAGAAAGAAAGAAAGAAAAGAATTCAGCAAAGACTCCAATCTTTATCTCCTGAATCCCTATGACCTTAGGTGTTGGACAGATGGTTTATTACCATCTATTATCTATTACCTATCGCTATTGTATCTGAGAAATATGACGCATAACTTTCCAACTGGGTCACTCCCAGATCTCAGGACTCCTGCACAGGACACTTAGTTATTTTATCTTCTCTGTGAGGTCTCTCACTGATGCTCCTGTTCAGCTTGATTGTCTGGTTATCCCTTCATCCACTGTCTTCCCAACTCAATACAATTTCTCTGATCCTGTGTGGCCACCACCCACATTGGCCACTCCATAACCCCCTAATGAATTGTTAGAAACATCTGCCTTCTTCACTCACATCTGGACTGCTGATTAGTAGAGAGCCAGGGGAAGAAATTTCACATTACAGATTCATGCTTCAATTTTATGTCTTTTTCTCCTCTGATGAGTCCTGAATGCCAATCAACAATCCCTGATCCATATCCACTCCTCCTACTCCCCAAAACATTTTAATTTTTTTTTACTAGTCTCTTCAAAACCCCAAACCCCACATGTTCACCCTCTTCACTGGAAACAGATGGTGAGTTTACAGGAATGGTTGGAGCCATCAATTGCCACCGTCAACTCTGAGCCCCGCCACAACAACTTCCCACGCGAACCTGCAACCTCCCTTCCTCTATCCTCTTGCTGGGAGAAAAGAAATCAGCACACTTATCCTCCTTTATCTTCCACACCGTCTTCACAGTAGATTTATTGGCATCAGATAGTGAGAATATGTTCTCAATCTCTTCACTCTGTTATCCAGTAGTTACTGCCTTATCTAACTGTGTTCAATAAGGCAATAGAACACCATGCAAGAGTCCTCTACATGAGTTTCTTCAACTGTGGTCTAACCTTGGCTCAGGTCAGCAAGACTGTTGGACTTGCCACTGCACTGAAACCACTCTTGTTGAGGATACCAGTAGCTCCCTGCTGCCGGATCCAGTGAATTCTGATTCTTTAGTGGTGGTGGCTGTTATTTTTGTAGTGCTGGGGTGGAACCCAGGGCCTCACTGAGCTACACAAGCTCACAGGGCCACACACCCAGCCTTGGCTACTAATTAACTTATTTCTTCTTTCTGCAGCATTTAGTTCTATTGACTCTCCCTTATTAAAATCCTCTCCTCCCTCACCTGGTCTCTGTGATGCCAATATCTTTGAAATATTGACAAATACAACTAGATGCAATAACACATGCCTGTCATCCCAGCAACTCAAGAGGCTGAGGCAAGACGATCTCAAGTTCAACTCCAGCCTCAGCAACTTAGCAAGGCCCTTCCTCAAAATATGAAATAAAAAGGGCTGGGGGTATGGCTTAGTGGTTAACTGCCTCTGAGTTCAATCCCTGGTACCAGTAAATAAATAAATAAACAAACAAACAAACAAATAAATAAAAGAGAGAAAGAAAAGAAAAAGAAATATTATATTGACAAATCCTCCACTGACTTTCCTGGCTTCATTCTTAGCCCAACCTTCGTGACAACACCACAGGGATCTGCCCTGCGCTCTCAGGTCTTGCCTGCAATGAGCTCACCCACTTCCATGAGTTCAATGCCACTCTCTATATTACTGACTCGGCAATGCTCTCCCAGATCAGGCTCCCCTCCTGAGCCATTTCATTTGTTGTGTGGCCAATGGCAGCAATAACACTGAGCAAATGCAGTCCATGCTCTCTCTTCCTGAACACGAGTTGCTTAGGACACACCTCCAGTTACTAAGTCCCACCCACCTTCTCATCATCTTCTCTGCTCCTCTTTTTCCATCACTTTGCATCCAGTCATTGTCTGTTGCTAGGTCCCACCCTTCCCGTGGCATCCCACAGAACCTCATTACCATCTCTTCTATTTTATCCCACTAACATCTAGGCCACTGTATCCCATTAGGGGGCAGTGTTGGGCTAAGGATGGTCACCTCCTAATCTGAAGCCCACATTGCATATATTCTCACTCAAGTTTTATTTGTCTGATCAAAACTAAAAGCACAGATTGCCCCTTCATGCTAGAGACAATTGGGGCAGAAAATAGGGCAGAGCTATGAATTCAAGGGTAACAAAAATGACATTATCAAAGATTTTGGCCAAAACAATTGTTCCATGCAACTCTAAGGAGCGTTTACTCTGTGTCCAACACAGGAAACCAATGGAGGAAAAGAAGAGGAACCAAGAGGGAGAAGGTGTCTTTCCTGACACACGTTACCTAGTATCGAATATTTTCACAAAATTTTGTTTCTGCTTAAAATGTAATTTCCCCTTGAGTTCATGGCCTTAAGCTGGCAAAATCCCCTCCTAGTCCTGCCAGAGCCAAGTTTCTGCCAGCACAGGCTGTCTCAGGGGTCACAGAGCCCTCCTCCACAGCCAGCCATGTCTGCCACCCTCCCTTCAGGGTGCTGGCCAGGACCCCAGCGACTCCCTGGTGGCCTCCCCTGCCAATCACAAGCTCTCGGAGGAACGTGGGCTGGAGGCCAGGTTTTCTCCATTTGCTCCACGATCATGCACAGAAAAGATCAGGTCACCCTTCAACCTTGGAAAGATCTTCCACTCTCAGGGCACTCGATTGGATGACACACTTTCTTTCTTCCACAGAGGAGGCCAATTCTGTTGCTCTTTGAAAAGCTCCCTTAAAAATATTCAAGATCTGAATTAAAAAAAAAAAAATTCAAGGTTTGAATGAAGAAACTGAAATGAATGTCCGAAGGATCTCAATGAAATGAAACAACCACCGAAGGGTTCAAGTGTGTGACCTTAAAATTAATATAGCCTGGGCCCTGACTGAGGGATGGATGCAGTCTGAGCCTTCTACTAAAAGCTCAAAGGCGGCACCACCAGCAAAGAAAGAGGGATTGTTTTCTTCCCCAAACTTGGATAGATAGATAGATAAAAAGAGAGAGGGAGAGAGAGGGAGAAAGCAAGAAACATGTGAGAAGAAGACCCAGTGAGCTCACTGAGGAAAATGGATTTCAAAATCATCAGGAGTAAAGGAGGCTTGTACCCTCTGAGGGGGTCTCTGAAGGTCACCTTTGGATGTGACATCCAAGGTATTGAGAGATGTGAGGGACACTGTGAGCTGAGCCTGTGTCAGCAGGTAATAGTGCTGGCTTACCTCCCACGTGTTTCCTGGGCCTCCCTCCCCATCCACAGATAAGGAGCTTGGAATGGAAAGAGCTACTGTGGCCCTGTCTCAAGTCTCTCACCTGAGAGCTTGAAGAACACCAGGAGTGGGAGTGTGGTGGGGATGTCAGCAAGGCAGAGCGCAGCTCTCTGGAGCCCCTGGGGAGAGGAAAACATCCTCCCACACACTCTCCTGTCTAAATGGACTCCTGACTCTCTTCTTTCTCTCCTCCTCTCCTAAAGGCAGGGGCCATTGAAACTTTTGTGAATTGCAAAGCAGGCCCAGGATTTTAGTGAACCCTTTGATCCAGAAGAGGAAAGGAAGGAATACTGTTAGGGTCTGTAAACAAGTCAAGACGGCACCTGGCATTTTGCCAGAGGGAGTGGTTTGTGAAGTAACGCCAGTGAGCCATTAAGTGTGGAGATTCCTTATTGGTTGACTGCTGTATCTAGTTTATGTTAATTAAGATAAGCTGTGTGGAATGTATATATACCCCCCCCCCCCCCCCCCCC